AATGAATGAATGAATTACGTGACCAACAGCATACCAGGGACACAGCAAAACAAGGAAACAGAGCAGAACAGGAAAAAGGTGTGGCGGTCACAATAATAAATATCTCCATATAAGAAAATAGTGCAAATCTACAACACTAAGCCTGTCAACACTCCACAATGCCTTAAAGTAGCTCCAGTGCCTCTGCTTGTCAGTGCAGCATAAAATAACTGAAGTCCCAGACTTTCAGGTAAGACTTTTGTGCTTAATCTGAGAGGACATGAGGTCACCAAGAACAGGAAGAGAAAAAAAGATGAGAGCAATGGCTCAGAGGCTAGGAGGTGTTGACAAAAAGCTCGACAGCATTTTTCCTGTCTTAACGCAGACAGGATGTTCCGGCTGACTAAAACAAACCCTGATCCAGCAGCTGGCTGTTAAAGAAAAGAACTTTAGCAGCGTGGATAATTATTCCACACCTTGATTGATGGTTAGTTGTACCTCTTGGATGGTGATGCTTAAAAAGTAATTCATCCCCCCCCCCTTCTTTTTTAACAAGTATGAGAAATGTAAAATAATCCCTGAAGTGGGTGAATTATCTTATCGTTCGTGCAATATTGTTAAAGAGACCAAACACACCGTTAAACTTTACTCAGGTAATGAGCTCTGTTTGCGTTGTATTTAAGACCTTTAAACTTCTCCTCAGGCTTTAAGATGCCAGCAATTTTTGTTTTCAAATTATTCGTATTGGTTTGGTGATGCTATTTTGACTGCATTATTTTCCTAGATTACTGCAAGAAATAGCATCTTATCCTGTCAAGGTCTTATTTTTTTCTGTAATTCTGTTTTTTTAATAAACATCATTAAATGATGTAGCTCTGCCTCCCGTTACTTTACTGAACAAGCATTTGTTTCAGAATTAAACTGATCATTTACAGCAGAATTCATGGACTGACCTGTTTCACTTCACAGATATAAATTCAAACCTCTGAGCATGCATTTCATCTTAATTCTGATACAAAGTATAAATTATAAGGTTCAGCCGTCACTTGACTTCTACACAGCCTCACCTTAAAGTAAAAGCTGAATCACTTTAAGGAAAAAGTGATTCATATTTATTTTGAGTAAAGCTGATCATTTTTTACAGTAACTCGATTCTGCAACCTGTCTGCTGTCTCCCCTTTGTGGACAATTAGTGTATTAACACTTTGATGCCATCTGTGGGCAGATTTTGACATGTTGTATAATCATAGTCAGTTTTAGGGTTCTTATTGTATTCTAATTTTTGCCTCATAACTTTTGCACTGTCCACTCCTGCTGTGACAAAACAAATTTCCCACGTGTGGGACTAATAAAGGTTATCTTATCTTATCTTATCTTATCTTTTATTTGAGCTTAGAGCTCTCTGTGAAATCACTGTGGCTGCTGTCAAACTCTTACTGGAGTTTGTTTGTTTTTAATAGAGCAGCCACAGACTGCCACAATAATCCAAAAAATCCAAAATAAAAGTTTTGCATCTCAAAGCTGTGTGTTGAGGTGTAGTGTTTGCATACCCTGAGTAAAATAGAGTTAGTTTAACAGCAAGTGAACTCGATTTGGAAGAAACATCTGTTCAGAAGACAAAAAGCATTATTTGTCAACCAAAGCATGTTCTCTTAAGAGAAGTTATGTTGTTGCCCTCAGGTTGGTGCTGTCCTGCACCTGCGGGAAAAACAAACTGCTACTCAAAATCTTTCATATCGTCTTCTAATAAGCTGCTGAATGTTGAGTAGTTTTTCTTATTCCATCTTCAATCTATGTTTGGGTTCTACCCAGAGACTTTGAAACTGTACCTACGTGTAGTTTGTTTATTTATTCCAAATTTTATATGGTTATTATGATGGTGGACTGTCAAACTGAATTGCCCATTGTGGCATAAAAGCGCCTTCTGAGCTAAGTCTTCATTTCATGAGCATGAAGATTACAGTGAAAGAAACTGAACATGGCTGTGTAATATCAGTCACCAGTTTGACTTTGCCTGTTATTTGGATAAACATGCAGGTATTCAAAGGGCTGACAGAGAGACAAAGATAACTATGGAAAACCTCCGTAAGAGTTGCTATCTGTGCACATTAGCTAGAGCATTTCTTGTTCTTTGTTATCATTTGATAATGTTTTCATCATAATCAAAGTGACACCGGACTCAAGAGAAAGCACAGCAGCTTTAAAGTTTACAGAATTCTGAAGAGTTTTGAAACAGGTGAGTACACAGGGAAGTGAACTCTTTACAGGGAAATGGGGATTTCTCTCAAAGAGAAGAGGACACGTAAGAGCTGACTAAGGTGAGGATCGCAGATACAGTTTCAAATTGTTTACTTCTGTGTTTCTTAGCAGGTTGCACTGGCCAAACAAGTAGGCTGAAAAAATCAAGAGAGGGAACAGAAGAGAGTGGTGGAAAGTGGGCAGGAAATTAACTTGTAAGCATATTTCTCTTGACAGGTAACGTCCCACTTGAAAGTGCAGGTAAGCTGAGTTTGGAGGAATGCACCAAAATCTTTTCAGCAATCTTAACACCATGCAATACCAAGGAGCCAATGATCTTGCAGAGTGTGGACACTCAAACTGGAGTCACCTCAGGGTGGGCAATTCCACCTGAGAAGGGGGAGGCAGAAGTGAGAGAGAGAAAAAGAGAGAAGAAGAAAAACAGCCTTGGCCTGCCAGGACCATGACTAAAAACAAATATTGGTTGCATATAACTTTTTGTGAAAACATGTATTTTTTCTATCAGCTGACAAGTTTTATTTCAAATAATAATAATAATATTAATAAATAAATAAATGAAGATTTTGGCTTCTTCTACCAGCCACTTCTTTTAGGGGACTGTCTCCATCTCGCCCTAACCCTAGCATCCTCCTCTGTCACACCAACCTCCTTCATGTCCTTCTTCACAATATCCTCCTCTGTGGTCTTCCTCTTTTCCTCCTGCCTGGCAGCACCATATGCATACCACTGTCCCTCCTCTACACATGTCCAAACCATCTCAGCCTTGCCTCTCTGACTTTGTCTCCATCCTGAGCTTTCCCACTGATGTACTCATATCTAACCTCTCCATCCTGGTCACTCCCAGTTAAAATCTCAGCATCTTCAACCCTGCCACTTTCAATTTGTCCTCCACGTGTTCTTCTTAGCGCCACCGTCTCTACACGACATATCATAACAGGTCGGACTCGTACTGCTATCCTTTTGTTAGAAAGAACCCCTGATACTCATCTCCACCCACTCCACCTAGACTCTGTTCTTCACCTCTCTTATGCACTGTCAACCCCAAGGAAGCGTTGGTGTTTTTTAATTGTTGTTGTAAGTAATCTCTTATATATACTTTATGGAAGCTGCAGTCTTCCTGCTGAAGAGAAGGAGGAGTGGGAGTGTTTGCAGCATGTAGAACAAAACATAAGACGATGCAGAACGCTGCAGAGGATGGATTTGGATTTAATAGCAGTTCTTCCTCCATTATGCCGCCAGGGAGAGCATCAGGTTCTGCACATTTTGGTACTGATAGTCTGCATGTCTCATTCTGCACAGTCCTGGTGTTTTTTCCACGCTCCTGTAGTTTACTGTATTGTGTTTAGGAAATAAAAGGGCTTTTTTTCTTTACAAATAAATAAATAAATAAAACCACTGGCCTTGAAATTAATTTCTAAAAACTGTTAATGTTGATACATAATAGCACAGAGTTACCATGAGAAAATAACTGGTATGCCAGACATTCAATGTCACAAAACTAACAGAAAATTAGAAGATGAGGAACACATTGCTACTGTAATTGTGACTAAATATTAATTTATCTATTTCTGGTAGTCATTACTCTTTGATCAATACAAAAAACAAAAAACATTTTGACACATGAATTAAGTATTTCCAGTGAGCTACAGCTTTTGCAGATTAACCTAAGTGGGTTTTTTTCTGAATACATAAGCATGCTCTAATTTGCAAAAGAAATCTTCAGAACTGAGAACTTGTGAGAAATGTGCTAAAGCAAACAAGCAAACTATAATTAGGTGTTGGACCAAAAAAGTCCAATGTGCTCTCCAAAGGTGACAACTGAGTGTTGTCTAACAGTTTATTAAAGTAATCTACAATCACAGTATGTTTTTTAATTTACTTCTTTATTAAGAGATACCTACATTCATCTGAAGAATAAAGGTTTCACAGGACTCCTTTGGAAAAACTACATACACCCTTACTGCTTCCATAAGAATTAAGAATGTAAGTAGCAGCTATAGTATTTTGTTTGGAAGGGTTGCCAGGAGAAAAGCCTATTCTATCTAAAATGAGCTTGGCAGCACAGCTTAGGTTTTCCTAAAACCAAACACAGCAAAGCCCCATAAAAAACCCCTCATTTGTATCACGATGATGAAAGGGTGATGATTTGGACTTGTTTTACAGCCAAAGGATCTGGGCACTTTGCAGTCAAGTTGACCATGAACTTCACTTTATACCAAAGTACTCTAGAGTCAAATATGAGACCATCTGTCTCACAATTAAAGCATGGCTCAAACAGGGACCTGAAGCAGTGTCGTAAAGACGAGTGGACCAAAATCCCTCCATATACAGTTATTGCCGTTAAAGATGATTCAATAAGTTACGGAATCATACATTTAATTTTTGATTAGATAGACAGTTCCATGTAAAAATCATAAAGGCATACAGAATAAATACAGCCAAAAGCTGTGTGTTGTTGTTGTTGTTTTTTAGCTGGGCTGCCATCTTGTGGCATTTTCATTTATTACATTTATTTTGTACTCTCTCTTTATATTTTCTGCCTCACAGCACATCACCCATTACTACCTGTTGGAATTCCGAAAAAGAAAAGTACATCTCTGCAGCATTCAGCTCAACTATCTTCTGTTAAACGCAATCCTTTCTGTGATCAGGACTCGAGCTTAGACAGTAACGGTCACAGGCCTGTTGTTGGGTGTGTAATATGACACACTGAGTGGGGCTGGGCTATACTTTGCTATTGTATCCAAATAAGCCCAGCCCTTCACGATCCTAACCTGGCTGACGGGTACGTTTCACTCTTGGGTGGGGCTGGAGCTTTTATATTATATCCTCACATCACCCACTGTCACTGCGCAAAGACGCATAAGACATTGAGCGGACAGATTTCGGCTCCTTTGCTCGCCTTTCCTCTCCGTGTACACCGCTCAACGCTCGCTGATCGTCGGTCATGTTTCGCTGTGGGATCGCCTACCCTCGATGCAGGTTTATCATTCCCCTGCTTCTGCTCTTCGCCATTATTTTTGACCTTATCGCCATCTGCGCACAATCGGGATGGGTAGAGGACGAGGACGCCAAGTCTCACTACGCCAGTATGTGGAAGCAGTGCCGCGGCTTAAAAGACAACTGGCAGTGCCAGTCGCTCATGGACTTCTGTAAGTATCAGTCTACCTCACACATAAACCATACACAATATGCTGTTCAAAGATAATCCGACAAGAGCGAATGGGATGCCTTAATGCAGCCAATAATAAACCTCTAGTCAGTGCGAAATTCCACATTCCCATATTGTAACTTCAGGGTGTTGACCTCTGCTAAAGAAGTCCAGGCTGAGGGGAGGAGGGAGGCCTGCAACAGTCAGGCAAGCAGGCGGAATGAACTTTGGTCTCCACGAGCATTAACTCTTTTCTCGTTTATCACCTCCAGCTTAAATAAACGCAGTTGAAAGAAAGGCGGTTGAATGCTGTTGGATAATAAGTCCTGAGTGCCTTCCTCCTAGGCTGACGTCTTCACGCCAGGAGAAACATTCCTTGAAATAGCTTTCTGTTCTTTAGTTTGTGTGAAGGGTCACCACATTAGTTCGAAGAAGGCAAAACGATTCAAATGTAGATAAACGGCAGCAAAAAGAATCATGAATAAAGAAACGATTCCTCACATAATATCCTGTTCAGTATGAAACCTGGGCATTGCCGGAGGAAGCCCCTGTTCGTCGACGACTTTTGGGGGGGGGGGGGGGGGGGGGGGGGGGGGGTGGGGGGGGCTGATACATTATTAGGAAGATAAGGTAAAGAACATCATGTTTCTTATTTGTGGGGGTTTTTTTGTATTTGTAGAATACAAATACAGAGAAGACTCGTATGAAGAAGTATAGAAAAATAACTCCTTTGTGCAACATTGTATGATAAGAAAAATATGGGATGTTGAAGTTTTTCTTTATAGAATGTTGATTAGGATCAAAGGTAACGTAATAAAATACACTAATAGTGGATACAGTCGCACTTAGGTTATGGTTGTGAAAACATATTTATAAGTAAATTGTAAATTTTTATATGGAGTGTAACATAACACCCCCCCCCCCCTTTTTCCCCCCCTTTATGGTTAATAATGTTAATTATTTAATATTAATGGCAGGATTAACATGAATCTTGAAAACATACTTCTGAAGTATCAGAAATGGGTGCAACCAACAGGCACCAAAGATGACTAAAAGCCTGTTAGTAAGTGAAGCCTGAGCTTTTTTACTGTTAAGATATTGATGTTCTTATCATCAAGATAATTACTAAATGTGGCCTTCATAGAAGACAGCGCAGAGCTGCTGTTTGATGGTGTTTGTGTAAATTGTGGCATCCTTGTTATAGAATCCTTGGTTGATGTCATTTTAAAGGTTATATTCATATTAGAACACACGAATAACTAATGTGCATTTTACAGTACATATAATGTATAAACCTCTTTTTATCAAAGCAGTGAAACTCATAGTGCTATCCCCATAGCAACCCATATGTGAAATATGTTTCCACAACTGTGGTTGGTGGTTGCATAACAACCACAGAGATAAGTTCTTCTTGAAAAGTAGTAGTTGTTTAATTGCACAGCCCCCCTCAGGGTTTACTATTAGTGACCAGAAGGTCCACTTTTGATTACAGCCCCTGAAAAAAATGGATTTACAAAGAAATTAAACCTATAAAGACAAACTGTTGACAGATGAGGTCATTGTTGCTATGACTTAATGGATTAAAATACTTTTACTCATCAGAATGATTCAAGGGCACCCTGAATAAACCCTTACGAACAAGAACTTTGTGAACTCTGTGAATCTGCACAGGTAGCGAAAACCATATCAGGAAAAACAAAAACAACTCGGGTACATTTAAAATACTTTAATAGCTTCTCCCAGCCCAAACCAAAGAGAAGCAGAATTTCACACAGATTATTTTGGGAGAACCAGTTAATGAGTTTATTCTTCAGCAAAGACTGTCAGCCACAGAAACGTAACTCACCGACACACAAGGAGACCCAGTATGTGGAACAATAACTGAGAACAGAACAGACTTGTATTCTCGGTCTCTCCTACTCAGGCTTTATTTGTGTTGCTCCACGCCTGCTGTGGCCAACAGAGACACTATTGTTGTTCTTATCAGACTCTTTGAAAGTCACCTAGGTCAGCCTAATGTCACACAGCTCCAAATTAGGGTCTGCAAAGCATACATGTAGCATCACTTATTAGACTCGCCATTCACAGTGGTAATTATTTTAGGAGCTGCTTGCACTCTTTAATGCCATTTCTAGAAAACATAACCAGAGATCTAAGCATGGAGCACAGCCCCAAAGCAAGATCTGGTATTTTTTGTGCAATATGTACATAAAAAAAGTACTTTTAGCATAAAACCTTTCTCACAGGAAAATGGCCCTTATTTTTTAGATGTCTGTTGATATTACTTTTTTGTGTTTCATACTATGCATGCACACCTGTGTTTTAGTTTAAAACATGGTTAAAATTATCACTTTATTAATCAGCAGCTCAACAGATCACCTCAGCTTAACTGTATGTCACTAAATAGTTTTGTATTATTTACACAAAACACATACAGTCTACTAAACTGTGATGTCATGTTTTATTATATTTAATGACCTCACTGTAACAGTCAGTTGAGAAAATAATTGTTAATGGGAATAACCACTTGCTGCAGCCCTAATTAAGATGACTGTTTAATGTAAATATCCATGGCTGTGTGACAGCAGCTCCAAAAAGTCAACAACAACAACAATTGCCAGTGTGGTTGTTAAGAGAGTATTATAGCTGTAGCATGTTGTCAGTGTTTTTCTGGCATTTTTCTGATCTCTTTTGATATTTCAGGCTAAATAGTTTTGTTAGGCTACGTTCACACTGCAGGCGAAAGCGCATCAAATCCTATTTTTTTGTCCCTATGCGACCCATACCCGATCACGGTATGACAGTGTGAACGGCACAAATCCGATATTTTCAAATCCGATCTGGGTCACTTATGTGGTACTGAATCCGATACATATCCGATGTTTTAGAAAGCGACTGCTGTTTGAACGGTCAGGTCGCATTAAATCCGTCTTTTACGTCATTGACACAAGACATACGCCAATTATCAGCGCTGGAGAAGCGCCTGAGAAGACATCGCGAACGCTTCCTGGCCAGATGTTAGTGAAACTGTTGGGAAGACAACGTTGGAGAAACGTGAACATTTTATTTGTACTGTATAATCTCCAGATTCTGACAGAAATCTGCAACTATCCTTTGAAGCACTGCTCCTCTCTAAAACAGCAATAGGGATAATTATTAGGTTATTTACATTATTATGTTAACAACAAAATAACTTAAAGCAAAAATTGGGAAACGTGAAGTCCGAAGTCTTTATATTAAGGGCCATCAGTCAAACAATATTGTCGCATTTTATTTGTAGTGTGAACAAGCAGACAAAAAAACCCGGATTTGATCAAAAAATCGGAATTGAGCATTAAGACCTGCAGTGTGAACGTAGCCTTATTTGCCTCAACTGCTCTCTGCTACTGTTTTGGCCGGGTGTCCTTTAGTCTCAGCGGGGCTGAAGCTGTTACACAAAGAAGAAGAAGCAGAACAAAGCTGCCTGAAGGCTGCTGGCTAGATGAAGGGTACATTTTGGCCCCGCGGTTTCTCTGGTTTAAATACTTGTAGGGATATTCTGAAAACTAAGGAAACAAACACAACCAGAGCACAGTTTGTGTGTGTAAGATGTAGGATGTTGTGAATATTGGAAGCAGACCAAACTAACTCCCCCTCAGGGCGTTTAGGCCAACTGCCTGTAAAGCTGAAGAGACTGAATTCTCAGGAACTGCAGTTTTAAATAGGAAGAAGCAGTTTCAGTGTTCTGGTATGAGTGCTTGAACAAATCACATAATTACAGGCTTGACTATGGATGATGGCAAAGGGCTGGGTGATATGATAGTATGCTGAGACAAAAGAAGTTTGTCACGCCCTTATGAGTGTGTTAGGGCAGTTAGGGGAGCACAGCATTAAGGCAAAATTTGAATTTTGCATCACTTTGAGGAAGAGTGATATTTCAAATTACAGCAGCCCATTCTGAGTCAGAACTGACTAACTATACATTGTTTGAAAACACAGTGATACAGTGATTCCAAGGATTAAGTATGATACATGCCAGTCTGTATATCTTATTTATTAGTAACAGATTAAGATAGCTGCAAATGATATACTTAACCACTGCTTTCTTTATCTATTAATCTGCTGCTTGTCTTCCCAGTTTGTTGTGCAGAGAGTAATGACAAAAAGGCCACTTTAATATCCGTCAGAGCGTAATTTTCAGATTTATTTTCAATCAAAAGTATCAGGCATGATGATTCATACTTCAAAGCACCTCAAGACACTTTATATTTCAAGGTAAAGATCCTACAATAATAGACAGAAAGTGTTCTTAACGATATTAAGTGTCTTGAGATGACGATTGTTGCCAGTTGGTGAAATCGAAATCAAATTGAGTAGCTGCACAATCACACAAGTAATCATTTTAGCCCTCAATTAAATACCAGCATTTGGAGATTTAATGCTTCTCGCCCACTCACTGTCACCGCTCTCTAGCTGAGCCCAAACTGTGAAAAATGTAAATGCGCAAACGGCAAGTAAAAAAAAACAAAACCAAGGAGCTATTTTAGTACGATTTACTGCATTTCTAACACTGGAGTTTCTGGTTAAGAGAGTGTGCCATTAAAATTCTTTCAGGGAGAGCGCAGGGTGTTGTCGATCCCAGCTGCCTCTGTGAAAGCCTTATTCTAATAGCTTTTATTCTAAAAGCTATTAAATTATCCTTATTATCTGAAGGTTTAGATTTGTCAAATATGGGAAAGTCAGTGTATGTTTTCATAATCATACTAATAGGGCATTTTAGTAAATTTGCAATTAGAGGCAGTTTCAGGCACGCGGGTAGCGATAGTGGAAAAATGTAGGAGGGCAGCCAAATGTCTTTGTGTTTTGATTAAATGGGGAAAGCAGATGCTGAGCAGCTGGATAGTACTAAGTGTGAGTGATTGGGACACGCATTTCGAGTGCTCACCCAGTAAACAAGGACACACCCATGAATATTTTTAAATTAAACAGTCATCGTTAAGTGTAGGAGCTTTTATATCAGTTTTTAATTCTCGTATGGCAAAAAGTATCAGTTCAGAAACTCAAAAGCTTTTTCTTCTACCAATAATGAATCAAGACACCATGTAAAACAGCTGAAATAGTAGCATGTCTCACTGTGACTGTCTCCTTTGTTTCACTTGTTTTATTTTGAGAGCTTTGCTTCTTGAAGAAATACTTGTAGTAAGTTTATTGGACTGAATCTCACAATAAGCCTGAAGTCATCAAACTGTTGATAACCAGTCTAGTTTGGTGAAAAGCAGAACACTGTGTTACTGGTGAGATTGAAGCTTGGTTGATGTTGACATGGGTATGAAAGGCTGAACCAGTTGGACTAGTCTGATGTGTATGTGATGCTGCCTGTGGCTGAGGCAGGTAGGGCATGACCTGAACACATTCACAGGCAAAACGCTGTGAATAATTTAGGGTGTAACTTATCCAGTATCAGTAAATTGGGTGTAATGCTGTGCTGATCCACATGGTGAGCTTACATAAAGCCTAAAACTCTCAGGAAGTTTTGTTTTTAATCCTTGATGCAAGTAAAACCTATTCACAATACAATGAACACCTCTTGGTGCTTCTTTGCAAACAGCAGCAGTGTCACATGATAATTTGTTCAAAGGCTGGTGGTGCGCTGAGTATTTGGCCAACAACTCATATCAGTTTTTGTCCAAAAGATTGAAAAATTTGCATTTTGGGAGGTTTGCATCTCTGCTAAAGTTCAGAGGCATGTCTGCCGACGTTACAGAGTTTTAGAGAATTCCAGTGCTTTTAAGGGTGTGGTGTGTGTGTGAGCAAAACAAAATTTGTCACAGCTTGAACCTTAGTAACTTTGCAATCTGTGTGAGCACAGCCTTGGGGAGGGGAGCTGCAATAATAACTAAACACCATGTAGACATATTGAACAATAGATGATTCATTTAGTTCCACAAACAAAAGTGAGAGGGATTTGGATTTACCACCAAGCTGCATCCTGAGCTGTCATAAACTGTTGTTTTTGGACAATTTTAACGCATAAAATGTGACCCAGTAAGCAGTTAATGCTTCAAATTCTGAGCTTCTACAAAAAGGTGGTGGTTTGATTTCAGAGGTGCACAATAAAGTTAGAATGAATAGTGCAGAAAGAGTGCTGCCTCCTTCATTTTCATGAATCTTTTCACTGAACATTAACCATAAATAGAAAAACCAAAGCTGTGTTGAGGCATAAAGCAGCCGAAACCTTCCCACTAAGACTGGAAAGTCTGTGTGCAGTTTTACAGTTGTAACTTTCTGCAGCTGTTTTCTCTGAGGGCTTAATGGTAACATGTGCCAACATTTTTAACAGAACATATTCAGAGATTTTCTTTTGTTTTGTTTTTAAGAAAATTAACTTAAAAATGGAAATGGGAGTTGTACCTTGTGTGGCGTATAAGACATACACTGTTGTAACACTTGTTGATATACCAGGTTTGAAAATCTTAAAAAAAGACTCCTTTTAAAAAACGGAACTTTTCAGACTTTTGTTTCTTCTTGAGTGTCACAATTGTTTTTGCTTATGTTTCGTTCTAGCTTGGGCCCAGGCAGTCGCTGCTCTAATGATCATTGGTCTAATCATCCTCATCATCGCCTTCATTTTGGCCATTGTGGCGATGTGTAACATCAACATTGGTCTTATGGTTGCTGTTGCAGCATTCTTGATCGTTGTTGGTAAGATACACACACACACACACACACGCACAAAAACTTGCATCCACACAAACACCTAATTTCTGCAGGTATAATTACTTCCACATCTACACAGTAAAAATATTGTAAACAAAGTCAGGTGGGGCTGGCGACATGTATTGAGAAGAAGAAAAAATCCTCCGTTTCAGATATTCTTTGTTGGTAAATGAAATTAACTCTAACTGCATGAAGAGCAACACTCAACCACAGATTAGAATCTTTGAAACTGATACCAAACATGCCTCCGGTCTTATTGGTCCATTATATGATGCTTTAATCTTCAAATAACATGTTTAAGCTTGCAAATGTTCAGACAGCAGCTTCCCAAATCGAAGCAATATGCAAAATAGGTTTAAAAAAAAAGTAATAATCTGAAAATATTATTTTATACCAACACCAAAACTGTAAAATAAGGAAGGGAAATATGTGGGAGTTGCATACAATCACACAATAAAACTAGTGACGCTGATAATGACTGCGTGTTTTGGCGTTAAGAGGGTGAGCGTAGGAAAAGGCCTTTTTCCCCTGAGGCGTGACGCTGCTGTGGCAACAGCTGGTGTGTTTATCAGACAGACAGACTGACTCACCTCACAGACGAAAGACCCTGACACAGTTACAGGTGGTGGGGTGCTTTTTATTTTATTTTAAGTTGCTTTACACTGTAATAGTCACCAAAAAGATAGCAGAAATGACTGCCACCTCAAAAATCTATTTTCCTATTTTTATTCGACGGCATCCCAGCTGCTGTTTCAGCCCACACAGCTCCTTGTTGAAGATATGATCCTACATTGAACCAAATCCAAGATTCAGGGTTTATTTTATAGCTGCATTTTACAGAGATGTTGAATTGGATTGGATAAATCACTTTGTCGGTTGCAGTTTCCTGCAACTGAGATTTTGATTATACAGGAGTTTTAAAATAAAGTCGTGTGTTTGAACAAAATGTGCAAAATAGTGGGATGAGGAAGTTCAGTTTCAGTCTGGTGGAGGGTTTTACAAAAAGGGGTGGTGGTTAAAAATCAAACAAAACAAACTAAACTTGAACGTTTGATTTAAACTGTGTATTTATGAAATATAGAAAAAGAAGAGTATATTGATGATTTTTGGCAAGCATTCCTTCAAAACTATATTTTCTTCACTTGTTAAGTCTTTACTCTTGTGTCCGTATGATGTCAAAGAGAGCGGATATCCCTAATTTGGTCATTCCTACTGTGGTTGGCTCTGGCTGTGAGCACAGGAGCCCAACCCATCTGCCATTCAAAGCATTTTTTTTAATGAGGCGAGCGACTCTGAAGAAATTTGGCCTATTAGGAACAGAAAGTGAGATAAGAGCTTGCTTCAGTCAAGTAGATGAACTGTGGGGCCCGTCCCCTTTAATATGTTAATGCAGTGTTCAAAAATTCAGGCCTGCCTTTGCAATTAATGTGAAAGTGCGTGTTGAAACAGAGTAGTTTATGTTCACTCCCTGTCTTTCCTAAGCAAAATAATGCTGTTTTAATAGTCATCTGTCATGGGAAAGTGGATCTAACTGAGTCAGAGTCACACCTTTCTCATGAATAATCCCTGGTAATAATGACAGGTCTGCCAAAACTCACCTCGAACTCCCAGATGTTGATATGCTGATGAAACTCTTACACAAGCTTGTGAAGGTATTTTTCACACCCTGCTGTTACCATCAGTGTAGTGTTGACTGCATGACTGACTAAGTATGTTCAACTTCCTTGTTTTCTGTAATGGTTTTAAAACTCTGCTCATCTAGTTTATGGTTTAAATATATTTTTTATTAGTAGGTTTTTATTTATACAGTAAAAATGAACTCTACTTTCCACTGACTGGTCTGTGAGAGTAAGTTATTCGGCCAATCTGCTATATAAAAGCTCCCTCTATTTCTTGCTTAATAAAAAATGCAATAGATCATTTATCAGCTTCTAAACAATTTATCCCCAAAATGAGATCTTGCATAACTTATCAAATGTAATAATAGGTTATCATTATTGCATTGTTTAATTTTCCATCTAATTTAGTGGAGTGAACCCGGAGGCATTTTGCAGTTGTTAACACATAGCTTTATATCAGTTTTTAAATAAAACTTAAATATGTACTTTGCTTAATTATCCCAGGAAAAGAAGTAGTTCTCATCATGTTGTAATTTAAAGCCCTGAAACCCTAATTTCTGAATTAGCTTTTGACCATTAACAATGACTTTAGACAACATTTCTAGTAAAGTAAAAAAATAAATAAATAAATTAGTTTGAGCCATTGCTGGTTTAGGCAGTTTGGCATTAGTTGATTTATTAGTGTAGATTATCACCTCACACTGTGCACCAAGCCTTGTTTGTCTGTCTCTCTCTGCAGCAATTATCCAAATCATTGCTCTGATCATCTACCCAGTCAAATTCAATGAGCTGATCTTTGAGGGTAACTATTACTACACCTGGGCCTACGGATTTGGCTGGGGCGCCACCATCATCTCTATCGGCTGCGCCATCCTCTTCTGCTGCCTGCCGAGATATGAGGATGAACTCAGCGGCCAGGCAAAGATCAAATACCTCTATACTTCTGAGTAAGGAAAAAACCTGGGGACCCACCCAGTCATAGCCATTTCCACTTTTCGCTCTGAGCTGCATCTGGACTGGCCACTGAACATTTTTACACTGTGCCGTTTCACCAAAGATTTCCAATGGCTTATTCAGTTTAATATGGTCCAGCAATGGGAAAACCACTCTTCTACTATCTGTGAGTGAAGTTATAGGCAAGAAGTAATTCCTACTGGGAGTGGACTGCAATTGGGAACTGCATCTACTTTAGTACACAGATCTCTATTTTCAATTTATTAAGAAAGAAATAATAATCATGATGTTATTTTTTTGTTTTTGTCACATAAAACACACTTATCAATTTACCTGTACTTTTATAACTGTAACTCTCTAACACAGTCTCACATCACTTTGTGAAATAGTTGCAAACGTCAATCAAAGGACCAAGAAACAGACAAACATTAATTTTACACTTCATTTTGATTTTTGATTTGATATTTTTTATAATTCTATATGTTTGGTTACACAAGTTCCTGGTTATATTTAGGAAAACTGTATCGCTTGGGTTAACCTACTATATTTACTACATGTTTTTATGTGTCCCTAAAAGGATGGTATAGAAAAGTTAAATAAATAAAAAATAAAATAATGACCATATAGTCAACTAAATAGCTCACATTTTGTGAATATTTCACAAATGGACCACGAGACTGTGCTTTATTGTCAATGCAAGATCACCTAAGTGCACTCAAGTTAAAGGAGGTTAGGTATAAAGCTTTTTTTTTTTTTGCCTGATTTGTCTGTATCTCCTTGATAAGCAATCCAGAGTCAAATATTTTGCACAGGATATCAAATCATTCAGTATCATTTCTTGGATTTGTCCTGTGTGCCATCATTAGTTTTTCTGTGTCTTTTGTTCTGTATGTTGCTGTGTATAGATGATAAGAAGGAGACTTTGCTTCTGGAATGTAATCAAGTTATACAGAAAATGTCTGTGTGGTTCAACTTTCCTGTTTGTAACTTTTTGTACATTTTCTTATTCATTTGCTGTTTGTCTTCATAGTTCTGTTCTAAATTTCCATATTACCAAAGGGATATAACTGGGGGAGTTCACTGTGCTGTTTTGTCTGGATGTGTTATTAAGTAGAGCGATTGAAGGTAAGAGTAAAAATGTTTTAAAAAATATGCAGGAAGGGAGTAATATTCTGAGAAACGGCTCATAATTTCCCCTTAAGTCACAAAAAACCTATTTATAACACAAACCTTCTATTATGCGTCTAATAACTTAATTAAATCACGGCCTAAATTGCGATCAGATTTGGCGAACAACAGTGTAGGAAACACTGACACAGTTGTGAAGTGAAGCAATTTCTGCTTCACTTTGGAAAAATGTGTTTTGTTTCTTGTAATTTTTATTACAAACAATGTCAGAGACAATCTTCACCTGATTTTAGGAACTTAATCTTTAAATTCTTTGAGATTTTTCTTAGCCTCACTTCTCACCTCTCCACCTCTGTCGGCCAAAAACACCTTCAGTACCCCATCGTGAATAAGGCTAATGATACACTCGAGTAGGGCGGCAGTTTGATGATTGCTGTGATCCCAGAAAAGTTGTTTTCTTGTTTTCTGGTTTCCAGTGCATGTTGCTTCTCTGCGTGCCGCTCTAAACTGGAAGACAATATAAAGAAATTTCCACTGAACACAATGATTAATTTAACATAAACAACAAAAAAGAACAACTCGTATCCAGATTTATTTTTACCTTTATCGAACTTGATAACAACTGATATCCCCGTCCATATCATAGTTATTTTAGAACATCTAAATGTGGTAACATTTTTGTTTTAGGTGGTCAAAATCTTTGTTTAAAGGGACTCGCAATGAACTCAGTAGGTTTACTGTGTTCACACCAAACGTGTTTTTTCTAAAGGCCGCCAAAAGTTCTCATGATGCCACTTTGGCCGACATTTTCTTGTTTGATAAGACACAGAAACAATGTTGTACAATCATCTGACTTACTGTGTGGACAACTTGTGCCTTAGCTTCTTCAGTGTTGTGTTTCTGAATCCTTGAATGTTCGATCCAACTGGTAAGTCAGGTTTTACTGACTTATGACAAGTCTGTTCGTGTTGAGACAAATTTCATGCCCAAGCAAGATGAAGTTTTTCTAATCAATTAAAGAAAGAGTTCCAAAGAAGTAGTTATTAGTAATTGATTCTCGATTATTGGCCACAACCCAGTTGAAGCGTTTCGCATTAAATGTAGATTGTATAAAGTTGTTGCTAAATAACAACCGTTATTTTATACCTTTTAATGAGGGCAGGTTTACTCTTCCTAACTCTATTGCAACAAAGACATGTTTTTGCTCAAGGCATGGATCTCTGTTTTTTCTTGTTTTTTTCTTTTTAGTTCCAGCTTTATATATCATTAGTAACTGTATGGATCTATAGGGACTGTCTCACTGGAAATCTAGCTGGTTTTCTGCTGTAGTTTGAATAATTTTGGTAGCGTGTGTATTTTTATGCAATAAAGAGTTTTTTTGGAAAGATTTTCTGAGTGTTTGTTGAAATGCAGTGACTATTTTTGTATTGCTCATATGGACAAAATGATTAAGTGAAGTTTGTGTGCATAAACAAGTCAAATTGAAATATTTGTAGTTTTGAGATAAATATCACAACACAATAATAGATCAGTCAACAGAGCTGGGCTAAGAAAGTGAATGCTCCAGGGTGTGGGGGCTCCTTTAGTACTCTTTGAGTATTGAGTCCTGATCACTTGATGGAGAAGTTAAATCCATAAATTTAAAGTGGACTGTGATGGTAATACGGAGCCAGCACAGCTGAATTAGCAGAGGTGTGACCTGTGAGTCATTGGATTTAGTCATAAGCCTCACATTAGTTGGTCTAAACAACCTGCAGATGTTCCAAGGAAGCTTTAAGACAAGCGAACAATGAATTGGAATTACCAAGATGTAATGGAATAAAGGCATCAGTAACATTTCTAATTCAGGGGATGACAGAATGAAGCGCAACTTGGCAGAATTCTGTTAGGGGCACAAACAAGGATTTCTCTTTATTCCCTTTATTAAGTTAAGATGAAATTGTCAACCTAACTTTTAATATAGTGAAAGCACTTGTGCAAGGTCTGTACTTATAAACCTCTTTGGACTTAAAAGAAATAAACAATTGAAAGTCATCTGCGTGACACTGATTAAAATAAAACATCCTTAAAACATATTTACTACATTTCTTAGTTGAACCTTGAAGCAGATGGGCTAGAGCAGCAGAAGACCACACAGGGTGCCACTTCTCCTAAAAACATGAAACTGAGCTTATAATTTGCATATGCTCAGCAAAATTGGACAAAAGAAGACTGAAAAAACAAATGAGTCTTAATTTCTGCTGTAGCATTTGGTTAGTAGGGTGAGACTCAAACAACATGAAAGGATGAATCTATCTTGCTTTATATCAACGGCTCAGGCTGTTAGTGGCACGCTTTGGACAGCCTTATGCTACAGCCTACCCGAGTATTGCTGCTGACCATGTCTATCCTTTTCTAACTACAGTGTACCCATCTTATGATGGCTGCTCGCAGGAGGATAATGTAATCTCAAACTGGTTTCTTCAGCATGACAGTGAGTTCACAGTACTCAGTCACTAATCACAGTCAACACAATCAAACACTTTGCCACCAGCAAATCTGCAGCTTGTTGAATCTGTGCTACAAAGAATGAAGGCAGTTCTGTAACTCCAAAAGAGTGTTCAACCAAGTACTTACAAGGTGTACCTAATAAAGTGACTGGTGGGTTTCTCATCGGTAACTTCAAAGTTACAAATTAAAGTTAAATGTGCATGTCAACCTGAGTTTTTGTTCAGTGGTATTGGCGGCATAACATTAATTTGCCACTCGTAGTTTATCGTCACACACAGAGCATTTGTTACCACATACAAGTGGAGACACACATTGGTGATAAACAGCTCAGAGATCCAACGATGTGAGTCATACATTTCTGGTGTACACACCCAGCACCTCCCTGACTGGGAATTAGACTTTGCTCAGCATGTTGTGGCAAGTTTGGTTTCTCTGTAAAATGGGAGTGGCAAGAACAGAGACAGGTAGGGTAAGGGAAAGACAACACAAAGGTAGAGATCGTAAGGGAAAGCAACACAGCACTGAAGCAGGAAGAGAAAGAAAGTGAAACAAATGGTATCACACTGGATCTTTTTAATCCACACCATGGACTATAATTATTTTCCCTCTGTGTTGTTTCTGTTTTTCACGTCACAGAGCGAAAATCTGCTGCGCCATTGTTTTCTGTTCATGTAGCACCACAGTTCATGATAGTCAAACTTGGGTATTTGCAATGTATTTTGCTACACAGTACATCTACAATATAAACACATATAAAATAGGTGCTTAATAAAACTACTGAGTACTTCCACAGTTATTCCTTTTTCATTGGTGGATCATGTTTAAATGTTTTTTGACATGTTTGACCAACAACACAAAATGAAGAGATCCCAAAAAGTTGATTCTGTTTGTGTGGACATAGCCTTTTCAGTGGGAGTGACTTCTTCAGTCTCCGTGAATAATTGAGCATGAAGACAAAAAGAAGTAATATTTACTCAACAGTTGTGCATAACAAGAAAGTATCAACAACTTTCACTTGAGACGAAGAGACTTTTGTTTCTTTTCTTTGCTGTAAAAATCTCCCGAAAGTGCAGCTCTAAGAAAAAGCAGCACTGTAAGATGATATCTTTAACACATTAAATGCATCTTTGTAATTTATGTGCTCGATTTTCTGCTGTCTTTATCTGCACAATGCTGACCCCCTCAGGTCTGAGAAGTTACAGAATAAACATGCTGGTGATGAGATATTAACAGAGAATAGAAATGTGGTTCATATAAACAGGAAATTCTAACAGTGAAAAACTTCTCAGCTGCTGTTTTTATCTCTGTAAAAGTTTGTTTTGTTTTTTTAAGTCAGCACATCATTTAAAATTAAAAGTCAACATGTTTTTGTAAGCCTTGAAGTTTAAAAACGAGTGATTCCACAAGGAAAGTAGCAAAAATATTGTTATAGAAATTAAATGAAAGCAATATCAGTACATTAAACGGTACATTACTTCTAATGTTGTTATATACTCACTGGTCACTTTAATAGGTGCGCTTCAAGTCAATCCCTGTTTGCCTTCAGAGATTATTTTATTCTTTGGAGATGAATACACTGCAGTCATAAAGGGTTGGATATGGTTAGCAACATTACTCACTTAGTCTGTGATGTTTAAATGATGCTTAATTGGTACTAAGAGGCCCACACCATTTCAAAACCACAAAAAATGTGAGCTGATTGTTTAAACAAGGCAGGATGGATCCATGCTTTCATGTTGTTTCTGCCCAATTCTGACCCTGCCATCCAAATACAGCTGCAGAAATTGAGACTCTTCAGATCAGGTAATGTTTCTACTATTATCTCCAACTTACTAACAGTTCACCATCAGTGTGAGCATGCTGAAGTGCCCAGAAGTTGACAAATCACAACATATGTTGTATAATGGACTATGTAAATGTTAAGTTACTTTACAAACATTGCAGGCATCAAACATAACACAAATGAATGCTTGATGTGTGAACTGACGTGCAAATATCCACACAACCCGGAATATATGGGTGAATTCATGTTGAGCATTTGAAGACGTTGTTTGTCTAATGTCAAGTGCATTTGGTGAAAAGAAAATTCAGCCCTCAGTTTCCCATGCACTCTCATCAGAAGAACCATTTTTATAGCTTCTTCAGGGTCACAAAATATTTAGATTTTCAAATACTATTTACTAACTTTATGATGTAAATCCAAGTTTTTATATTAATTTTATGTTCTACAACGACTCTGGAAAGTCCCTGACGTTAGTAAGTAATTGTGGTGTGAAATGTGCTGTATTTCCTTCTGTATTGTAGTGGAGCAAAAGCAGAAATTAAAGAAAGAAAACAGTAAATACTTCAGAGATTTATTGTGGTACAATTCTTGAACCAATATGCTCAATTACTCTTTGCCACAGGTTACCAGTACAGCTTTAGTAGCTCACTGGTTCCCTTTAGTTTGTGTTTCCACACAATTGCCACTGGAGGTCAGGCTTGATCAGCACAAGAGCTTCTGTGGCTGCGTCATCAACCAGCTGTTCAATCCACAACTGCTTTCTCTGAACCAGTCAGCATCAACTTTTACTACTTTCTTAGGAGTAGTGGCCCATAAAAGGGGGGACATATCACAATTAAACAATGTGAATGTCAGTCTTCACCCCTACACAAAGCTGTGTATACTAATTTTTTAGTGGGGGTTGGTTTCGATCCGCCTCCGAGGTGCTTTCCACTGAGAAGAAGAGTCAGAAGAACATTGAGATGTTCCTCTTCACAGTTCTCTCCAGGGTTCTCCCCGCTCTTCTGCCACCTCATACCAGGATGGGGCTCCGAAGCTTTTGGGGCTCTGATGGAACAATCCGGGTTCAGAAGTCACTCTGAGGGACTGGCCGCACTGTCAGAACACAAGAGACGTTTGACTCTGGAGGATGTATATGGGTAAGAATGAGGCTGATAGATTAATGTAAAGTAAATGGTTTACCAGCAGGATGTACATATCCGACATACCTGTCATAAATCCCCAATTCCACTTGTGCTCCGCCTTTTAACACAGATGAGGAGACTGGGCAGGGTGTATATGCCAACATTATTAGGCTTGACTAAGATTTTGCAAAGCTCATGTTTTTGTTGTTTTGGCAAATGTCTCAAGCTTTAAAACAAAGCACATACAGCATGCAACAAAAGCATTGCAAGTAAGCAGCAGCACGGACTTGCTGCCAGCTAAGATCAAAAAGTGGATGCCACATTTTAAAGTAAAGGTTACTATCAAAGTCTCAGTGAGTCAGATTTCTACTTCATGTTAGCAACTGTTGCTTCCTTTAGAGCATCAACAAAATCCCCTAATATGCAAGGTTTCAATAGACTGCCAAGGAATATAATGCACACTAGCAATATTTATTTGAATTTGATCATTTTTATGTTTTTTTAATTTGAAGAAAGGGTGAAATCTTTGCAGACCCCTCTGTCTGCATGTTCATGGGTTTTCAAAAGCTGTTCAACGTTGGTGTTTCAAGATGGCAACATTGTAGGATGTATTCAAGACCTTTACCTCTGCAAAAAAGTCCTGCATTGATGAAGTTGCTCAATTAAAAGTAAGTAGCCATCATGTCTGTAGAGGCTAAAAGTGTCAAGCTGACATCTACTTTTTTAGTAAGTTATTGTTGCTGATGCATTTATTTGTAAGTAATAGTTTACTGTTGCAGCCAATCCAGTTAGAGCTTACTGCACTGCATACTGCCAGTACTTTCATCTCAATTTTTTTTATCAATGCAACATATTTGTGTCCTTGGATTTTTTGAAAAGCATTGTACATATCTAAATTATTATTATATTTATTACTTTAATTGTTTTAAAAGGCCTCTTGTGTGTTAATTATTTAAAGCAAACATTGACAAATAAATGAGGTGAAGAAAAAAGTCCAAAATAAATGACATGGAAACGTACTGTGCAATAATCTTGAGTCACCCTGAATTTTTATTTTTTGCTTCCAGGGAAAGGCTAAACTTGTGTGTAATGTTTTAAAAGTGGTCTTAAGCAATAACTCTCCAGACTTTCTGCAGATCTTTCCAAAGGTTTCTAATTTGTTGTTGTTGTTTTTTTTTGTTTTGTTTTTTTGCTTTTTCACTTTTTTCACTCATTTTCAGTCCAGTCCTTGTACCTGACTATTTTAAGAAAAGAATATTTGGGGTTTTGTTGTTTTTTTAAGCACTGACCTATGAATTATTCAACTATAGAGGGATGAAGCAGTGTTCTGTCTGCACATAACAGACAACTTAACAAAGACCCCATTATAAAATGCATCTCCTGGGACTTTGCTACTAGCAGCCTGTCACAAAAACACATTTGTTCCTATTCTATATATTTTTAAAAAATGCTAACAATAACACAGCTTGACAGACATAAAATTCTATTTTTGCACCAACAATGGGATTCCCAAAGAACTATTAGCCAAAAACTTGCCCCATCTCTGCATGGTGTGCAGCATATCCTCAAAAATGTAACTTAACTGAAAAACTATTCAGTTTTGAGAAGAAAGTTATAAAAGTATGCACTACTGTGGAATCCTTTGACCTTTTCTTGACAGACATAAATCCTTCCAGACGTTATAAGGAAATGTGGACTGCAGTACAATGGTCAGGTGGTTTTATTACAGTATCATCTGCTGGTCTAATATAGGTCATTTAATGAGGGAAAAGTTCAGCATTGATATGAGACAATAGTGGTGGCGGTGGTGGGGGCAGTGACTAAAAGAGGATTGCTCATACTGGTGATTTGAAACAGCGGAGTGGGCCAGTTGTCCCTTCTGGGGTTTTCCATGTGCTGATGACTATGCTACTTAGCTTTCACCACTTCCACAGCCGGCTAGTATTGATTATTGACTTCCGGCCAATGACTCAGCCAGCATGTGACTCAGTAAGGAACTTTTAAAAAGTTTGGAAACTGAAATTTTTAGCTTTATCTACAATAGCCCCCTCAGCAGCATTCAGTCAAAACAGACCAGAGTTAGATGGGTTTTTCTTAAGTGCCCACTTACTCAATCAAAGGCCTTTTTGAGGTCAGTCAAAGTGACTTTATAGATGTTCATTTTAACAGCCGGTGCGTGCAAAGCATTACCTCAGGGGCAACAGCTTGAAACTTCGAAAGGTAAGACTGATTCACAGAGCTCATTCCTCGTGAATGCTGTCAGGTGTTTTTTAAGTTTCTTTCCCCAAGTAGGTAGAAAACTGAAATGTAGTTTCAACTGTTGGGGCAGCTCAACACAGCAGTAGGAGTCTTTCCACAGGTAGGAGAAAGGAAATAAAAAGTGAGGATCAGCACAGGATAACAACCGCAAGATTAAGACGAACTATCTTCTTTCACAGCGGTGAAGTGGATATTTGTCCACAGTGGGAAAAATATAGAATAAAGTTTTACCTCAGCTTCAGGCCTACTCTAGATTTACGTGAATCCTGCCCTTACATAATAAACATGTTTGTTAGGATGCCAAATTCTTGTTAAAGCTACTTTCAGTTACTGTGACTCTTTTGAAACCTAATGACAACCAAGTTTCTGTGGTCTTTCTAATGGTTGATTCAACACTGAAAAGATGACATTATAAATTATCTATCACTTAACTGAGAACAAATTTACAGACCGACATTAATTTGCGACAGTTCTGTGGTAACTGTGCTCTGTTTCTCGGCCCATGACAGCTGGGATTTGGACCGAATACTCGTATTTGCACGCCGTGCAAAATATACTATTTGTACTTGGTTATTTTTTCTGAGTTATCTATTTTACGACACTAGAAATTAGGGGTGGGAATCACAGAATGGGTCATGGCATGTTACTCTAATCTTAAGTGGCCCAGGACAGCGCAATACACGACACAGTTTAAATGTGCATGTGCATATTTGCGTCTGCGTGTGTGTGTGTGAATTAAAGTTGCAAATAAAGTGTCAGCTCCTTTATTAAACTCTCTGATTTGCTTTACCCTGCTCACTTAGTGAGTTTCTGTTTTTTCATTGCAAATTTAGATAGATATGCCTATTTCAAACAATTGAAGGAATAATGTACAATCCATATTTTGAAACACAAAAAAACCAAATCCCAAATATCTTAATTATTATATATATATATATATATATATATATATTATATATATAATTATATATATAATATATAGTACATATAGCAATTCTGATTTTATGCTTCAAAAGGACTAGAGAGAAGTATAAACTTACCGCTCCTTCCTGTCTAATGACTTAGTCAACTTCAGTTTTCCTTTAATTCAAGAAGTCAAGAAGACTTTGGTAAGTTAAACTGACAAGTTAATCAAAAAAGAAATCAGGGGGTGTATGCATGTTTTAATAAAAAATAAAAAATACTGGCCCCAGTGTGTTGTATAGTAAGTCGATGCTAAGTTATATGTAGCTCTTTAACTTTTTGGTCCCAGTAGTACTGCAAATTGAATTTATGTTTTGTTTTTGATTGACTTAAGGAAATCAAACCATCTAAAAACTTTGCTTTTGTAACTTGCAGCATGTGGGCTTTTCCAACTTTTGTATTTTCACCTCCTCCTAAATGCTAAACTGAAACTTTATTTGTGTTGGAACACACCCATCACACAAAGCCTAAAAATATTTGTCTCTTTATGTCATCTAAATGTGTCACACCTCTTTTTCGCGTGCATAATGCTAACACATGCAACTCCAGCAAGTTGCATGTGTTAGCATCATGCATAACTTAAGCAAACGCTACACTTGGAAATAAAACATAAAGCTCTGACTACTTTTCCGTTGCAGCTTCTGAATGGTAGACCGCAGTAAAACAGTTAAACATGCTCTGCCACATACTAGAAGCTCAGTCAAGATAATAAAACTTGTCAACCACAACAAACCACAGGTGCACAACAGACTTGTGACTTGACTGTTGTAATGCTTTAGCCGCCTTGACAGCCAAAGTCAGGTGGGTTGCTAGATGATGGAAGATGCACACTTTTCTTGGTACACTAGAGCAAAGATCATCTGTTGATGTTTAGTATTGAACTCACATGAAAATTAGAGGCACAATTTAACCAAGTGTCAGTTTACGTTTCCATTAGGTGGAGACATATGGAGGTTAAGAGGCTTCCTTTAAGAGGAAACCAATTTTTGTTTTGTGATTTGGGTGGGAAGAGCTAGAAACTTTTGCCAAAATAAAAGAAAACTTCACTTTACATGAACATTGAGCTAACTTACTAATGTAGTGAATGAACCAGCGGGTTAGCAAAGAGCTCACATCTGCTTCTTAAATATCTTTGAGCAATGCAGGAATCCCCAAGAACCTGAAAGTCTTTAATTATATTTACATGATTTGCTAACAATTAAAGCACCATCGCATCATTGTTTCAATAGCTACAGTCATCAGACCATGAATACACATATCAGTGCATGCAGTCAACAACTCAAATCCATTTCACAATCAGGTAATGAGCTTCGTTTTCCTTACTCATTTGCTGATTCTGAAGGTTAATGATTTATTTTTTAAGGCTGTCTCATGAAATAGAGTATGACGCGAACTGCCTCCCTCCCTCAGTGACGCTCCTTTGTGCTCAGTAGGTGGGATATGCTTTTCAGTATCGAGTCAGACAGATAGTAAAGACCCCCTGGTGGCAATGAGCTGCAACTACAGCGGTTGTGTGTGTGAGTGTGTGTGTGAGTGAGTAAGAGAGAGAGAGAGAGAGAGAGAGAGAGAGAGAGGAAAATGGGTGGACGGAAAGTCCCCGTGTGGAAATCCCCTTTGACTTGGACTTTTTCCTTGTTTTAAAAAAACTATCATTATCGTACGTGTGTATTCTTTTGAAAGGCTTCGCAGGCTGCGAGGGCTCCAAAATAGATCTGATACTGAAAGAAAGAGAAGGTTGAATGGCGCCGAGGACCGCTGCGGTGAGGCTGAGTGAAGTGGCTGAGAGAGGACTAGCCTGAGCATCCGGGAGGCTTTTGTTATTACCCCGACATATTACACAGGTAAGACGCCAGCCTTCCCTCCTTGTGCCTCCCCATGTGGACACACATTTCTTAGCAATTGGGTGAGACTTGGTGGGTAAGACCACGTTTGGGCCTTGAGTAATGTATGGTCGTGTTTCTGGGGACACGGAGGAAGCTTGAAGCCTGCTCACGACAGTGGCTTTGACAGCCATTGTTTACAAAGACGTCACCCTCGAGCGGATAGCAGGACATTTAAACAGCCAAATGTGGCATCGGCGAAGCTACAGTGTATCGATACCCGCGCTGTTAGACGCGATTGAACGCTACATTGTTCCAAAGGTAGTTGTCATTGGAATTACGTAAGCCTTTAACGTCAGCAAAGTCTCCTGTTATTGTGTTTTTGTGTAGCCAGCCATCCTAAACCGCAGCGTCCACCCGGGTGCTGCTGTCTGTCTGCCTTAAAGTGTGCCCCGCTGTGACAGCACGCCACGCTAATGATTCGTGTCAACATGCTCCCTGACATCCAGGTGTCTGTTGTCTGGTCCCTCATGTGACTGACTAGCCCTTTAGCACGGCCTAGTCTGTTGTTGCACCTGCTGCTGTTTGGGTAGTAAAGGCACAGAGGCCAATAGAAGCTCGCTGTTCAGGTGTTTGTGGACTCGAACAGTATCTTTCGACCTGACTGCCAGCTTGCGAGAGGTTGATAGAAGGATGTTGTGGGAAGTTTAAAAGTCAGCAAAACTCCAGGCCCACTTGCTGACCATTACTTTCTACTTCCTCTAAACTGCTAATGCGTCTTCACTGCGTTGAAATGTGAGGGGAAATAGTCCTTTAAAACCTTCCCTTTAGCAAACTTGACTCAAATTGGGTATAGAGGTTGTGCATTGAACCTCAGTACCTTTATACTTAAAGTATAAAAACTGCCAAAAGTTTCCCTAATTTTCCTAGCTTTCAAATTACTGTAACAAATTGGGAAACGTGGCTGGATTAAAGTTTGCATTTTATTTAGGGGAAATAATTCTGCAGCTGCCTGTTTTTTAAATGACATCAGGGAGTGACGTAAACCCAGGTTAGATTATCTTCCTCCTGTACTGAGAGCAGTGTTAGTGTCTGTACTGAAAGCCTATAATTTTTCTAATGATTCCCAGCCTTTTAAACGGAGACTTTATGCAGGCTGTTGAGGGAGGAGGCCTTGTGACCTTCCCATCAGCCTGGGAAGCCCTGGGTGGCCTTCGGTTAAGGTCTGGAAAGCACCCGTTTATTGTTGGAAGTCTTTGAGCTCAGTGGGACACTAGGAAGCCCTGTTGAGGGAAACTCTCAAAAACCATCAAGACAAAAAGGAGAATTAAAAGAACAAACAAGAATACAAAGGGGTCTTTGTGTACTTTATTCAGTTGGGCCCAGCAGAATCTCCAGGAAAAAGCACCATACAGCCTCCATACTGGAATCATCCTTTGTGATGGGTAGTTTCCCAAACAAACTGTAAATTAAGTTGTGCCTTAAGTCTTAATTTGTTAGGAAGGGGACTCTCCACTGAAAATTTCCCACAAATCCCTGCTGTGAAATAACATGTCCTCTCCGCTTCTCTCCATCCAGTTTCCACGTTGATCTGGCATCGGTGGTTGGTGCCTCCTCCTCCTCTCCTCCTTGCTCCTCTTCCTCCCCTCCTTCCATTCACCTGGCCAGCCATCCGCCATGTCGCAGGGTCAGAACTTCCTCCCCAAATTCCTGTTTGTCTCCAACCTGCTCAAGGCAGTGAAGATCCGACAGCGAGTGCCTAACGATGTGGTGAAGCCTGCTGCCAGCGGTGGCCTCATGCACCACCTGCGGGGTATGCACCGGTACACGCTGGAGATGATCGCCATGAACCACTTCCCCCAGGCCTTCAGGGAGGTGGTTCAGGCCGCCATCCTGGACCGAGCCATGCAGGCCTCATTAGAGAAGGAGAAAAAGCTCAACTGGTGTGGGGAGTTGAAGAAGATGGTGCCCTTACGCACCAATGGTAAGAACGATTATGCTGATGTTGAGGAGCTGTTCTGGAAAATGGAGGCTACAGTAAACCAGATTTCTGTGGTGGTCTTATAAGTGGATGAAGCTCCATGAAGCTTTGTTGATGTTCAAAGATGTTTTATATTATTGGTTGTATAGCAGAGGGCACCGTAAATAACTGCTGTTGGAGCAGTAGGTGATATTCAACACGAATAGAACAATTCAGCAGATTGGTCACAGAGCTAATGTTGAACCATTTCTCCTTGATTTTAGAAGCAAAACATATTGCGCTCAACACAGGATGTGTTTTGCTTTTGTTTCATTTTCTATGAGAGAGATGGTGAGCTCTTATGAGTCAGGGCTATTTGATATGCAAATTCTGAGATGTCATTACTCACAGGCAGGGTTACTGTAAATGACAACAATCGAGGGACGTGAGTTCCGCTTTCACATAGACTCATTTAGCAGCCCCCTTGGTTTTACTGTGCCGACCTTAGTGTTTGACTTTAGGCACCCCACTGCTAAGTCATGTTTTCTGTTACGTGAATGTTGTAAGACGGGAACATCCCAGGGCAGGCAAACATGTAGACTCGGGCCTGATTACTTCTGATCATAGTTGTGTACTGGGAAATTCTCTGGCGTCACATGCAGGACTGTTATTTACTGTCTGTGATGTTTCAGACCCAACTATTTCCACAGTTTTTCATTTGCTGTATTTGGGGTATGCCCCCTCTTTTTCTGTGTAGGTGTGTGTTAGTGAATGTCAGTGGATGTCAAAAAAACACACCGTTTTACCTTAAATTCCCCACCTGCCTGACTTTATGTGACTTTATGGATTTGTGTTTGTGATGATCTGTTAGAGCTCATCAGACCTTGTTAAAGCAAACGTGTGTGTCTCTGGTGGCCTTTTCCATCTATACTGCAGTAGCTTAAACACAGCTGCTGTGTACATCAGATCTATTTTAAAGTTAATGGGGAGCAAGGTTTTTGAGAGGAATCATCAGCTATAGCTTCACAACAGAAGGAGGAAGAGGAAATCAGTCATAATTGCAGCTTTGTGCTAAACATGTGAGTTTCCAGAGGAAATAGTTTCTTTCTTTCTCATGTGAGAAATTCCTACATTGGTCACACATCAGAAGTTACTTTGAATAATTACTGGATGGTTGAGGAACTTGCTGGATGTGTTATGTCCTACAGTACTTTTTTTAAATAGTGAAACTCTTTGAAAGGGTCCCTGTCAATTCTGAAGTTAGTAATCACTGAAGGACTTACTGTAACTGTCATCAGCACATAATTTCCCCTTGCAAAGACCCCTTAATTGATGACCAAAATGGATGACTTCTGCTGCCAGTAACCTGGCTGGAATTTCCTGGTTTGCGAAGATGATGTCATAAAGAGGAGACAGAATTTAGTGCCGGAGCGTCTAACTCTGAAGGACCCAGACGTGACTTTGAGCAGAGGACGGACAACACGCACGCACGCACACACTCACACACACACAGGGCTGACTGACTGCTGCTGAGTCACTGGAGCTCAGCAGACACACACACACACACACACATACAGAAAGAAAACGTGAGAGAGAAGAAGTCTGTTCACTGATGTCCAGCACCGTTGTCGGATATCTGTCTCCACATCATCTCAGAACTGAATTTACCAGTGAACCCAAAATCCTTATCTCATTTGGTCTATGCAAATGCACTAAAGATCCAAACCCCATAACCAGTTTCCCCGAGCCCGGCTTAATTACGAAGCAAGACCACAGAATATAACTGACCATCAAAAAAACCCAGACTCATAAAACTTCCACTCTGCTTCAATTAAAATAACAGGGCCACATCCGTTTTCCTGATACATCCAACTTTTCCTCCAAGTAAAACAAGGCTTTATTAGAATTCAGTCTCTCTTCTGTCTTGAATGTCTCGGACACATCCGTGGGGTTTTCCCAAACAGTATCCCATGTCTGTCATGTGTCCCCATCAGGAAGGATTTGTTCAGCTACAATACACTAACTTCATGGTTAAGTTACTGGGAGGACACATACACTGCTGCAGTGTTCTGCCTTACAAGTAAAGCTTTTAGGTTTCTTTTGGGGCATCCACATTATTCCTCCTAGATTGGGGTATGTGGTATGTGCACTTTGTTTTTATAAGCAAGACTACACAAGGAAAAACTTGATGAGGAGGCGACGCATGAGCAAAGGATGAGCCAGTGAAATTTTCCATATCACTTTCTGTAAAATGGGACATTGGCCTTAGTGGATAATCTATGAGCGTTTTTCTAGTTTGGTAGTAATTACTGCAGTTGTTTACAGTCACAAATCTTGGGCCATTCTTACACAACAACCTGCAGACAAGGTGTGGGAAAGTGCAGCCCTGCTGGAAGCACACTGTCGCAAACTTGTGCTGTCACCTGGACAGTGACCAAATCAACTTAAGTCTGGCTCTGCACTGGTATGTTTTCAGGAAGTTCCCCAGCTTGCCACAGAGGAAGTATCTATATATAACCTGATGGGAGCTGCTGAACCACTTTCATCTTTAGTTTTCAGGCACCTCACTTTGTGATCATGACTTTTTTTCGTGCAAGAGGAAGTGATTACGTGTGTGGACATTTGTTTGGATTTGTGTGTACCTTTGGGCCTACATATGTCTGGTGTTTTTTTATTAAAAAAGCCTTGCATTTTATGTTTTTGCTGAGTGATGCAAGAGCGCTGAAATGGAACAACATCTAGCTGGTCTGAAATGGAGAAGTGTTTTTTTTTTTCTCTTTTTAAATACAGCGAGATGTTCCTTCAGTTGAAAGAAAACAACTGTAGCTTAGATTGCATTAATTGAGCCACACAACAATTAATGCTACACTGAGATCAGATTTTGGCCTATTTAACACTTGCATCAAAACAAAACAACATTTTATGATCCTTTTTTTTAGAAATTTTTTCCTAGCTGTTTCTTAAACCTACTTAAACTTAAACTTTTCCTGTATAGAGGAGAGATCTTGAAAATGCCTGTTTAATACAGCAGTATTTTACAAAGAAGGGTGCAGATGCTTTATGTGTATGAAGTTACTGCCAGGTAAATGTTTGTGGAGGGAAAAAAAAGAAGCACACATTACAGTTCATGTGTATATGCTTGTGCATGTGAGGACCCATGTTATCTCTGCTCATTAATCACAGCATTCATCGGGTGTTGATAGTAGTATTTAAAAAGATAACATTCCATCCGGTCCAAGTCACGCCTTTGTGGAAAGTACAGGACCAGCTGAGTAGCATTGATGAGTTGGGATCATAGGAGTGGAGCACGCACACATGCACTCGCATGAAAGACAGAAGTTAGTACAGGGAAATTCCTGTGTTTAGTGTGGCAACAGGGTTTTTCAGAGCTGCACACATTAACAAATATGGGCTCTGCTGTTTCACAATGAGAAAAAGACCCAGTACTGCCAAAGGAGAATAAATAAAATTCCAGGACTTTTAGCCGCTCACGCTCTCACACACTCGTCTTTTCAGCAACCAAGTCTTTATCACTGCAGCCAGTCAGTAGAATATAGGTAAAGGCACATACTTTGGCAAAAACAAATATATGTATGTGAGAATTCTGGTTTTCTATACAGATTTAGATTGTAAAAAGATTCAGTTTTTCAAAAACATGTTCCGGGGAAATTACGGGTCATTTTTATCAGCCTTGTCTGTGGCGTGTGTACTGTTAGATGTATAAGGGTCATATAATAGTCGAAACACCAGATACTAACGACCAGCCCAGCGGCCTGGAAATCCCCAGACTTTAGTTACACTTGTGTGTGTGTGTGTGTGTGTGTGTGTGTGTGTGTGTGTGTGTGTGTGTGTGTGTGAACACACTGCAGTTGCCTGTTTTTTATGCTGTATGTGCATAGCCTTTGTATGTGTGCGTGTGCATGTGCCTATTCACAGAAGGAGAACTTTGTGTCCTGTGTACAAAATCAACCAACCATAGTACTAAAAACACATGTGTTTTCTTGCCTCCTCTTTGTGTGTCTGTAGGAGATGGGAACTGTTTGCTTCATGCAGCCTCTCAGTACATGCTGGGTGTTCAGGACACAGACCTGGTTCTTCGGAAAGCTCTCCATGGTGTTTTGAAAGAAACTGACACGGGCGTCTTCAAAGCTCGCTTCCAGGCAGAGCTGCTCCAATCTCAGGAGTTCACCCAAACTGGACTCCGATACACCACCATGGTATGAATTTTCAACTAGATCCATTTTCCATTACTTTGCTTTGAGAAAACTGTGCTCATGCAGAAGTTTATTTCCTAATTGTGTGCATTTGTTCCAGAACTGGGAGGATGAGTGGGAAAAGATTGTGAAGATGGCATCGCCAGTCTCCAGTAGCAATGGCCTCCAGTTTGATTCTTTGGAGGACATCCACATCTTCATCCTCTCCAACATTCTCCGCAGACCCATCATCGTCATTGCAGGTACTCCCTTTTTTATCATCTCAAATTATGCTTATTTATCCTTGTTAGCCCTCAAAGACTCACTGGTTTTGTAAGAGCACATCTTGTAATGTATAATATATCACCAGCATTCCTCAACATTTGCTCTCGGTTGTTTTGAAGTCTTCTTAATGCACTGTGTCACTTACTGTCTATCTTAATAAAGAATCTCAAATGACTACTGATGATTTCTCAACTTCAAAATATAAAAAAATAAATATGCAGAAACATGTTTGCAGTCATATTTGAGCAAAGCTTGCTTTTTCAGGATCTAAAATCCTAAAATGACTGCACATTGCTCCATTTATTCCACTTGAATTGGGTGCAGCTCTATAAAAGTTGTTCATTGTCATTTGTTAGAGAGTTATAAACTCTTAAATCTTTGTTCTTTCAACAGACCAGGTGGTCAGGAGTATGAAATCCGGCACCTCCATCTCTCCTCTGAATGTGGGTGGGATTTATCTGCCTCTACACTGGCAACCCACAGAGTGCTACAAATACCCGATAGTGCTCGGCTACGACTCCCAGCACTTTGCACCCCTCATCACCATCAAAGACAGTGGTCCAGGTACAAATCACAAAGAAATAGGTGTTATATATTTGGCACGATAAAGGGACAAAGCAGGACCCCTGTTCATGGATTTGGCTCTGTGTATCTTTAACTGAATTTCCCAGAGATCCGAGCAGTACCGCTGATCAATCCGAGGCGGAATGGCTTTGAGGAACTGAAAGTTCATTTTCTGATGGAGAAGGAGCAGCAGCAGAAAGAGAGGCTCCTCAAAGAGTACCTGCACCTGATAGAGATCCCTATCAGATTGGGCCATGACATAACACAGATTATGAAAGCTGCAAGGTACTTGGGCATTATAAGCTCCATCCATTGTTAAATGCAGCTTTGAACAGCTCATGGCATAAGAATTGTTTTTGACTGATTATCAAAGATAATTTAGCCAAACTACTTTTATTAACTATGAATTTGAAAGGGAAAAAAGTAATAAAATGCAGTTAAGAACCACATTGTATGTCTCTGTCCTAAGGCTGGATGAGGGAAACCTTCCTGAAGACATGAACCTGATGGAGGACTACCTACAGCTTGTGAACCATGAGTACCAGCGCTGGCAGGAGGACAAGGAGCAGGCATGGGCCGCCCAGCCACAGCGTCCGCCACCCTTCTCCGTCTCCCAGCTCTCGCTTATTGAGATCCGCTGTGCCACACCACGATGCACCTTCTATGTCTCTGTGGACACGCAGCCTCATTGCCATGAATGCTTTGAAAAGCGGCAGGCCACTACTGGTGGAGGAGCGAGGATAGAAGGGGTAATTCAGACTAAGGAAGGAGGTTTACAAGGTGGGGTAGGAGTCATAGGGGGATCAGAGACTGAGGTGAGCTCCAGAGGAGCCAGAAGTAGCAGCCCCCCATGCTCTTCATCTGGGAGAGGAGTAGTGTTATCCAGTCCCCGCTCAGCCCCGCCCACCGCCCCCAGCCTCAGCCTATACAGTGAAACACATGCAATGAAGTGCAAGACACCCGGCTGCCTCTTCACCCTAAGTGTGGAGCATGATGGACTTTGTGAGCGCTGCTTCAACTCCAGGCAAAACCATGGAACCCCTGGAGTTGGAACGGCCGCTACAGGACTGCCAGGGACCAATGGGGGGCCTGTCGTTCCCCACCCAGCCCAGGGCTCCGGCTGGAACCAGTGGGGAGGCTGTGAGACCGAGACAGAGCGATGTAACATGTGCAGAAAGGAGGCGTTTAGGATATTCAATGGCTTGTGTCCACCCTGCATGCAGAGACAGCAGGCTCCAGAAAGGGGAGAGCCACAACAGATCAATCCCAGGACTGAAGCCTCATCTTCAGCTTGGACCCAGGCCAGGGACACTGAGCGGCCATGCCTCACTCTAACTCCAGGGCACACCTCAGCTTGGCAGGGCCCTGTGGCCCGACCTTGTAAAAGATCTGGCTGCCAGTTCTTTGGGACACCTGAAAAACTGGGTTTCTGCACTATTTGCTACGTAGACTATCAGACAAATCACCGTAAGTCCTAAAACAAAACTAGAAAACACTTCTTGCATTGCACGCTTTTCGTATATATAAAATTTATTATAAAAGCCGTATAGCTGTCTTAATAAACATCTCATTTAACTGTTCTGTTTGTTGTTATTCAAATGTCATATGGCACATTGCTTATGTTGGCCACTGTTTCTTCCAGACCTGACTCCTCCTCCTGCCCCGGCCCAGAGTCGGCATGGTTTGGAGACAGGCTTCCAGAATGCCTCACGATGTCGTGGGCCTGGGTGTGGTGCAGTTGGCAAGGTGATGCTGGAGGGCTACTGTGATAAGTGCTACGTAAAAGAGCAAAGTGCAAGACTTAACCAAGTCGCAAATCGCACGTCCCCTCCTCTGGTAGGTACCTGCCATACCTTCATAACTCCTCACTGTTCTTCACATGTCTTGTTTTTTTCGTGTGTTCTTCTTCTTCGCCTGTTGACAGTTCTTTCCATTCTCGCTCTTTCTCTGTACAAAAGCGTGAACGAGCAGCAAAACCCAGATCTTCGCAGCAATCCCAGACCCAGACTCAGTGCCGGCGGAGTGGCTGCAGTAATGTGTCCCCGGGTTGCACAGACCTCTGCCCAGAGTGCCACACGCGTGGTCAGGGCAGAGAGCCAGGAAGACGGGCGCAGGCGCCCAAAGAAAAGTCGAAGCAGCGGTGCCGGACACAAGGCTGTGACCACTACGCCAACCAAGAGAAACAGGGCTACTGCAACGAGTGTGACCACTTCAAACAGATTTACCGCGGCTGACCACATTTAGCGCCCATGCACACGACAGCGATGATGACACATCGCTAGCACGCTAGAGCCGCCGCCCTGCTGTGGGCTCTCCATGCCAGTCAATGCACCTCTGATACTAACTAACCAACTAACTAACTTGCTAGTGACTAACTAGTTACCTTATGGCCTGAAAATCAAACCCCCCATGTAGAATGTGAAGAGAGAGTGTGTGTATGTGGGGGTGGTGGTGAGTGTGTGTGTTTTCGCAGTAGACATGGCCTCCAGAATACCTCTTTGTGCAATTATTATCATCTGACATGCCCTGCGCACTTACACGGTGAGAGGTTTGGCTACATGTCAGAGCAACTGAATTAACTCTTGTGTACAATATGTATTTAGAGGTACGTAGTGAATCGTGCCGGACAAAATGATTGTATGTCGACATAACAAGAAGCATCTGACATTGCTTTCTAGACCACAGCCAAGGATTTATACCCCCCGTCTGTCTGTCTGTCTGTCTTAACCCATCTGTGTATCTGTCTGCCTGTCTGTCTAGCATTTGCTCTGAAGAAAGAGAGATGCAGTAGTTGGGCATGCCCAACAGCAAATCTCTGTGAAAATAGTCAGCAGAAGTGTGCAAAACTGGGCCAAAGGAAAGCAAGCAAAGTGCTTGAAATTAAGTTAAATGGCATTCACCACTGTTTTGCTTAAATCTCCTAAATCACTCATCTATGTCCTCACAACCCAGACAAAGATTTTTTTTTCAAAAAGATTCTCTTGCAGTCAATATTGTAAAAATGGTCAAAGATTGATTTTCTTCCATTAGCCAGACAATAGCAGGGTTAGTTTATATTTTGAGGCTAATTAACCTTATTACTGTTACATATCTGATGTAAATTGCTTGATATGGAAAGTAAAAAAAACAAACAAATTATAAACTGTGCAGGACAGACAGGGCAGGCCCCTGTTAGTTTTGGTGCTACATGTACAGAAATACAAGCCTCTCCATTGTAGCCAACATGCTGGTGGTTTCAGCGGACAGAAGGCAGAGATCACAGTAGAGACAGGACTCACTCTCTTTCAAAACCTCCTTTCCTTCCTCTTATTTCCCTTTTTCTCCAAAACAAATCTGTTGCCTTGGACGTTGTTTTCCTGTTTACTTACCACTTAAGCACCTAGAAACGCATAGACACATGCGCACACATATCTACACAATGTATACACCAACATAATATCGTCAGTCCTGTTAAAAGGGGATTGGCAACTGTGAGGAGAACTGAGACTACAAGGACAGGCGAAGTCTTGATAATTATCCACCCTACTACCGTATACACACGCACACATGCAAACACAGCTTTGTGAGATTGTATGTCCCCGCCCCAGCCTGAGGTAATGTGTAGGTAAATGAGCCTGTAAAGATGCATTCCTCTCTGCTTCACCCTCCTGGATGTGCCAAGGCATCACTTTCAAAACTTCAGAGAGCAATCCTGTTGCCTGCTTTGGCTAATCTTGTCTATCTGAATGTGTTTGTGCTGCTTGTACAGCAGCACAGTATTGGGGCTGATCCTCGATAAGTTTTGCCTTTACATAGTGATTGAAATTTTATGGACCAGAGGGGCCTGATCAGTGATTATGGATCAGTGCTCCCACTTATAAAAAATGCTTTTGTGAACATGGATCTTAGTCCATACCGTAGGACCTTCCAACCCGATGCCTCATCTTCAATACACACACACACACATACACACATACAGATAAAACGTACGCGTGTGTGCGTCTGGAGTACACAAAAAACTGACATTCCTCCTCTTTTTTTTCTTTTCTTTTTTTTGAATTTCAAATGTATTTTGATATATTTGTTTTTTTTCTGCCAAAAGAGGAAAAAACAAAAACAAAAAAACGTGCCATCAATTGCCAAACAGTTGTTGTTACCTCCTTAAAAACGGCCAGCCTGGACCATTCTAAACTAACCAGAGTGCCACAGATTGACATCTCCTGTTCTGCGCAACCACCGACTTCAGCTAATCCAGATCTCTCATGCTGAAAACCCCCTCATGTACACCATCTTTCCGTGAACTTATCTTTTATTCAGATACGAAGAAATGTCTGTCTGTAAAGATAAGCTCAAACATGAAACATTTATCAGACTCAAATTTGGTAATAACTGGAACTTCTTTCCCCTCTTACTTTAGCTGTAGGCAGATATCCATCTGTGGCTCTAGTTAGAAAAGCATAGACAACCAGGCTCTTGGTCTGCCTTTTCATTCAACTGTATCTAAAGCTGTCAGGCCAGCTCACGTGTTGACGGCCTGGACGTAGATCTCTGTGTGCTTTAATCACCTCTAGACAAACCTTAATCACTTCAAGGCCAATTAGTGCTCAGCTCATCATAACCTCTTAACAAGGGGCTCTGACTGAGTTTGACTGGGAGGAGATCACATAAGTTGCACATGACTTGTCTAAGCTGCTGAGGCATTTAGGAATGGTACTCCGACCTGTGTAGGGACATTCCAACAGTAGGAAGAGCATCGACTTAAGAGCAGAAGGTGTAACAAAACATGCAAATGGTGTGGAAGTTTCTTTGTGTGACTTTTTGACAATAGGGTATTGTATGAAAAAAGCCTGGTTTTATTTGTTAAGTATTTATTCATATCAAAATATCTGTATTGTGTGATTCAATAATTATTTATATGTCGTCCTGAAATGAATTATTTTTATTAAGAAATCTGAAATCTGACTGATGTGTTTCTTGGGTCTGTACTTACTGTGTGTGTGCGTGTGTGTGTGTGCATATACTTGTGTGGATGTATTTTGACATCAGGTGGAAAAGTAGAATTTGATTTGCGTGAGGATTGGCGTCAAACATTTATTATATTGATAAAAATCATATTAACGTGCAGCCCCATGTCAACAAGTGCAATCGCTGTCAGGGGAGAGTTTATTATAAGCTTTTGAAGCTACAACTTACTGATGAGTCTCAAATGCATCACCTGCTTGCAAACAACACCACAAACATCATTGGTGATGACCCTAACTCTAGAACTAGGCAATTAGAATATGTTTATTGATTTATTAAGTTGTTCTCCAAAATATTTTCAATTGGGAAACAAAGAAAGCGTTTATTCAAAGTGACATACATCAAAAATATCTATGTTTTCCCCCCAAAAAGTCTCCAAAATATACAATTATAGGGGAGTGCTAGGGTTATGGATGGGATTATGATTACTTAAACTTCATTGGGTTAAGTTGCTGTTTGGAAAAGAAAGTTGTAAAGATGAGCTTGTTGCATTTATGTTTAAGTGTATGATGGTTCCAGTTTAAAATGAGGTTTTGCAGAAAGGGAACATTGTGGGTTTTTCGAGAACAGCTCATTCAACCAATGCATGAGTGACTGAGGTCATCAGTAACTCGACATCAAAGGCAAAAAAAAGCACGTCAGGCTGTCATTGTGAGGAGAGTTTTGTCCCGAATGAGTAATGTTGTATAGTGGTTAACAGCTTTTCCTAATGTGTGAAAGTTCCAGACCAGTAGGAAGCACAAGTTCCTGTGAAGGTTGTGTTAGGAAGGGCATCTGGTGTAAAAGTGCGCAGGTCCGTCTACTGTGGTGACCTATTGTGAATAATGGAGCAGCTGAAAGAAGCTAGAACAATGCAAAAGTTATTGCTTTTTACTCCCTATACTTAATTAAATACTGTTTCGGTGTTAAAATTATAATTGAGTCAGGGTAAAGCCTGGGGCCCTTAGTTATGATGTTATGATCAGTGAAGGTCCTTATAAAGATAGCTAAATATGGCCTTGTGTGTATGTATATGCCTCAACACACAGAGAGTGGAGCAGGCGGCAGCCACACAGGGGAAACAATGGTAAGAGAGTACTTTTAGCCAAAATATGGGAAGTGTTCATCCAAATGATGTCAGACTTGGCATCATACTTAGTCAAGTCCCCAGCAACACACTCACCAAGCTTGAACTGGGTTGGATAAACAGTTGTCAAAATAGGCAAAGAAAAAAGAAAAGAGAGACATAATTCTCAAATTATTATTAGTAACATTACAAATGGGTTTGTTCGGCATTTTTTTCTATTATTTTCTTGTGGCTGGTTAGGAGGGGGCAGGAGAATACAGTATATGAAACACTATAATGTGTTCTAGCCTGCATGCACTTGCATATGGAGTCTGCTTGTGTTCTCAGATGCTCAACCTTCTTCTTATTGCTTCTCTTTACTAAGCTGGATATTGCTTAACGCTGTTTCTGCAGACAAGCACTTGCACTCTGTTGGCAACAAATCCATCTCCAGTGTAGGAAGTATAGTGGGTGCTGCAAAAACATCAGATAAATGACTACTGAGGCCTGGTTTAGATGTGGCAGACTGCACCATTTTCCCATATGCTTAACTGGGTTAGATTTTTTTCTTCTTCTTTCCGCCTTTGATGTTCTTCTTTCTTTTGTCAGTTATGCAGATTTCCATAAAAGAAGCGCAAACAATAAGGTTTTTTCCTTCTGTGCTTTTTTTTTCTTTTCTTTTTTGGTCACTATATTCTTGTTTCCAGGTTATTGTAAGGCTTTTGTGCTAAAAAAGAAAAGAAAAGAAAAAAGGGAACCCCCACCCTCACAAAAGAAAACGCAGTTTACTCAGGAGGAGTGGGTCACACGGTGGGAGGGGGGAATTTGGAGTAAGGGGAGATATGGCAGTTACAGGTGGGGAATTGGCAATACTTATATATGGTAGGGCTGAGGTGACATTTAACAAACGTGGGACTGCAAGGTTTGTGCGTGGGGAGATTGGTAGGCTGATGCGGTTTCCTGGAAATACCCCAACATGCAAACGCTCTTGTAAAACCGTTCTGACAAGCAGGCAAGAAGTGTTTCACTTGAGGTTTCTCATGAGTGTGGTGCAGCAGACCTTTCTATTCATAAGCAGTATGAATAAATATAGTGAAGCAAATTTAGTTGCAGATTACAAATAGCCTATTTTTATTGCCAGACTTCATTGAATAGCTTATCCTGACAGAGAGATGACTTAGGCAAAAAGTATATTAACAAGTTTGCAATTAGGAAAATGTATGCAAGTGCATACACAAATACATAAATTAATCAAATGTTACTTACCAGACCCAGTAAATTCTTAAAATTCTTATTTAGATAAGGACTAACACATGACTAAATGCTATACAGCTCCAGTCTGCTAGGCTTGATTAACCTGTCAAGTTGGCCTGGGGCAAAAATGTGCTGTTGTGTACCTTTTAACGTTGCAGCAACAACATCGTCTTCAGTTTAATTAAATTCAGTTTTATTTAAGGCATTATATTTATTAATTTAGGGCTGCATGGTGGTTAGCAGTGTTGCTTCATAGCAAGAACGTCCTGAGTTTGACTCCACCATTTGGCCGAGGCCCTGCTGTGTCAGTCTGGCGACTTGTCCAGGGTGGACCCTGCCTCTCGCCCTAAGGTAGCTGGGACCAGTAAGACGAGCAGACCAGGGATATGGCTCTTCAGAACCAGAGGCATCTGCTAAAGAGGTGTGAATTTATGTCATTCCGAATAACTGGTCACTGGTTATGTGTCTAAAACCCGCAGTGCTAAAATAGACAAGCATTCAAATTTGTACTTTTTTAATCTATCCACCAGTGGATAGATTAATCTATAAGAAAGCACCACTTTTTTATAAGGTAATCATACCTGTAGAACGAAATGATCCTAATCAGCCAAGTAACTTGTAACTACAACTATCCAATATAGATAGTGGAACGAAATGGTTACAGTAGCACTCTGTGCAGTAGTGAAAAAGGTGAGTCATTACCAGAACTTCCTTAAAAAGGCAGTGAAAGAGGAGCTTTGGTGCACTTGGAAGTTTGGTGACCTTCTAGTTGTAGCCTCTTTATCAAGCCGTTACAAACTCTCAAATATGTAACTACAAGGATTATACAAGAAAAGTTTTCATCTTGACGTTTGTGGTATTTCGCAAGACTGCAAAACGCCCTGATTTACACAGGAAAAAAACAGCTGCCCAAACTCTGTGTTTAAGCAGTCATCAATAAAATAAGAATGAAAATGTCAAACCAAGATCGCTGCACAATGTCTGTTCATGAATGAATCTGACTCACTGCCTCTTCTTTTGAAAAGTGACATGTCGCAAAACTCAAAAGTACAGCTGAAGCTCATTCGACAGGAAGTTATCTGCTGTTGTGCAATAGGAAGAGGGTGTATCCATGGTTACCTTTGTCTGACCCTTTTGTAACAGCAGCAAACAAAACACGCCCATTCACCCTAACAGTATCACATAAACACCCACCAACTGAGGTTTTTTTTTTGGCCCATTTAAAACTCTCAAGTACTGTAACATTCCTGGAAACTGAGGCGGGATTCAGATTCGGGTTATAGAGTGAGGTGAAATACGCAGAACACAGTTTGTTTGACTGATTATCAATGCCATTCTCAGGCTCTTCACATAAACCATTAAAATTATTATTTAATTAGTATATAAAGTACAATTTGTACATGCCACATGAAGTATGATCTAACCCTATTTATTTGGCATTCATAAGCTGAAAAAAAAAGCCACAGATAAGGGAACACTTAAAGTGTTTGCTCATTCATTTGTTAACTATGTATGGTATTTAACCCTGGAGAACCCATGGGGTCAAATTTGACCCCATGGTTTCCCTGGTAAACCAATGGGGTCGGATCTGACCCCATGGGTTCTCCAGGGTTAAAAGTAAATCAATAAGTTACCAATAAAATATCACAGGTGTAAAATTCACAGTATATACAGAGAGGTGTCAGTATCAGAATTGTCCTTCATATAAATGTGCTTTGTCCTAACCAGCCTGATTAATGGTAGCTTAAAATAAATGTTTCTAACTGAAAGCTAGATTTGCTCATTCAGATTTCCTCTGTGCTTTCAGCCACATCTCATGACTGTCATTCGTGAACAGACTTAAACATGTTACTGTAAATATTCAAGTAAGTTTTGATTACCAGTAAAAATATAAAACAAACACATACATTTGCTGTATTTACATTTCCTGTTATTAAAATGCTTAATGTGATATAGCTGTGTTACATTTCACCCCCAATTACCTCATACATGACAAATGCAGTAAAGGATATCTGAAAATGATCTCATTTTGGTTTACAGCTATATTAGAGTCCTTCATCAGAATCAGAATCAGAATCAGAATGGGGTTTATTGCCAGATGTTGAGGTTTACAACATTAGGAAATTGCTGCGGTGCTTCAGTGCAAACAATAAGAATTAAAGTGCTATGTAGAAAGAAAGATATGTGCAAGAATTAAAGTGCTATGTAGAAAGAAAGATATGTGCATGAGATATATACATGAGAATAGGAATTGTGAGTGCTACGTAGAAACATATATACATGAGTGCAGGTGATGATCAGTGCCAAACATGAAATGATGCAGTGACACAGCGTAGGGTCATGTGTTAGTGGCGGGGACAGTCATGTGGTTATTGTTCATGTGTCCAACAGCAGAGGGGAAGAAACTGTTCTTATGGCGAGAGGTTCTGGTGCGAATGGACCGGAGCCTCCTGCCTGAGGGGAGCAGGTCAAACATAAGCTACTTATTTTCATATAGGAAGTAAAAGTGTTACAGATGTACATCTGTGAAATTTCCACAGTTTCATAACCCAAAGTCCTGTGTTATAAAAGTAATTCTGAGTAATCCAACAGGCGGTCTCACAGTTATTAATCTTTCTAATCTAGGATCTCTAATCCTATCATTGTGTGTAAGTATGTGTATGCTTGTAGGAGTGCTCAACAGTGCGTCACTGGACTGTCTAGATGCCAATGATAAAAGAAGTGAAACCGATGGGCTACAGATCACAGCAAAACACCATGCAGCAGGTCATTAACCTTGCCGTTTCAGGTCTCTTAACTTTCCCTAAGGTGATTTTAGCTGAACAAAATAAACTGCATTTAACTATTTTGGTTGTTTATATTTTCATCTACATCATAGTCTCCACTGCAGCAGTAATTTCCCCCACAGATATGATTAAACGTTTTATTTTATGACATCTAACAAGGGAGTTGTCTTAACATCACAACATATACTTAGTCACGTTTATATTTCTTTCTAAAAGAGCAATAAGGGATTTTTGCACTGATAGACAGCTCTAAAATGTTTGCATAACTGAGGCAGTTGTCGTTCAGGAGACAGAGTCGGTCGTCTGTCAACTGGAATATCATATGTGTAAACTGGTTTGAGTCTCGGCCTCCAGTCTACATATTCAGTATCCTGGGCAAGATAGTGAACCCTAAGTTACCCCTAGTGCATCCACTAAATTGCGAGTGTGCCAATGTTGTGTTAAAAGTCCTTAGGTGTAGAAAAAAAGGAACTTATATGAATGTGTGTGAATGAGGCTTCTAGTAAGAAAGTGCTATAAAGATACCAAACCATTTAAAACAAAACTCCCTATAATTACTGAATGGACAATAAGAAATAAAGGTATACTACTTTAAAATATGGAGTATTATTTTGTATTTGGTGTTTATAAATACCAAGGAAGGTAGTTTAACATTAAGTGTTGCCTACTGGCGTCGATTAAAACATTTCTGTAATCTCACAACTGGGTTTAGGGAATTAAAAAAACAAAAAACAAAAAACGTTTCGTCTTTAAGCGCTCGCATTTGTATCATGACTACAAAAAACAACTACAATTCCCATCAGCTACGTGTGTTTACGGAAGCCTGACCCGTAAGCTAATGGTTGCCTCGTTTTGTTTTTAGGGTACAAGCTGATGTGATTTCTCGCAGGGGCGGTGACGTAAAATCTAAAATTCACTACTTAAAGGGAACGGTTCTCGGGCGATACTGGTTAATGAACTAAGCACACCTCCATTGGGATTTGACGACCGTTACGTCGTGCTCGATGTGATGGTTGTTGCTTTGATTGTTGTACGTAGCCTAGCATGTTTCCTTAGTTAACAGTGCGATTTAACGACGATTAAACATCCATGAAACCGACAGACTCGGATGAAGATGAAGCAGAGCACCCAAGCTCCATGCAGAAGGAGCTGAGGCGTATGTTAATGTTTTGTCGTGCTACGTTTGCTAACCTGTTTGAATGGGCAGCTCAAGAGAGCGTCGTTGGATGGTTAGTTAGCACATAGTAAGATGAAACCGACTTGGTGTGTTAAATTTATGCCGCCAGAGCCCAATAGAGCATTATCTCTATAGGTATGTTACCGAAAAGAACTATTATTGGTGGAAAAGTACAGGTGACAGGCACATGACTGCCACCTGTTGCTGCTGGGGCAGCAGATGAGGACACTTCACAGAACATAAGTGTCAATGCAATCTTAAACCAAAAGAAAACACAAGCTGACAATAAAATGAAGCTTCAGATTCTGAATCCAGGCGCTCAAAGTGCAGCTAAAAAGGAGACATCATGATCTCATGTGAACCGGACCAGGGAAACTGCCCTTGCTGCCAGTGTACAGAAGTTTAACTACATATTTAATCCCCGAGATTTGTTAGCATGACTCTTTGGGCTGAAAGTCAAAGAAGTAAATGTGTAAAATTGCAGAAATCTAAATTTTAATTACTTTGGTGTAGTATGAATGACCATGGAGGAGGTCTTTATCAGTATGAAAACTTGTGAAAATACAATTAAAAGTCCAAGATTTCTGTTCTCCTTCTCCTTTCCAAAGCCATTTAGTGGGCCAGTTTGAAGCCTTTGCTGGGCCGATTCTGGACCCCGGGCCTTATGATTGGCACCACTGCTCTAAAGCTTTCATTTTAGGATGCATTGCCTGCCCTAAGCAAAATAAAAGCTTTGCATTATTTGGCTTCTGATTGGCTAAAATAAATGGGTGAAATTGAGATTGTACAGCTTAGTTTTTGTGCAAGTGCCACCTGCTTACCTTCGTGAACACAACACTGGTGGTGTATTTGTTTGCTGTATAGACATGACTTCTTTGGTTGTCTGTGCATTTCATCAAATAAATGATATACTATGTTACACTGGCATTTATGTGTATGCTGAATTCAGAGCGGGCCAACCAAAGCATCCAGCATCTGAGCAGTGCTCCGCTGCAGCTGGACCCTGATGGAGATGAGGTGGAGGAGGTCAGAGGTGGTGATGAAGACCATTATACAACCATGGCCGAAGAGGACAAGGCTGCATGGAACCAAAAGTCACAGAGTGAAGCAGGTGACTGATTGAATACATAGAAAGTTGATTCTGTTCACTTGTAAGCATTTCATTGGAAGAAACCTTACACCAATCAAGTAACTTTTTCTGCTGACTGCAGGCTTTCTCAACCTTATAAACAGTATAGTTGCATAATGACAGAAATTGGCGCAACTGACTAACAATGTGCAATGAGCTCAGTCCCGTGATTGTTAATATGCCAACTGTCATGACCACTGATCAGTGAGGAGTGGCTAAAGCATTGCAAGATTGTGAAAGATGTACTCTTAGGCCCCCTCCAGTGTTAAAAAATGGTCACCTCTCTTTTTACATAACCAAGTGTTCCTACCAGCCTGGGATGCAAACTTCCTCAACATTGAAAGATTGGGCAGTACCCTGTAGGTATAATTACATGCAGTCTTGGCTTGACAAACTGAATATTCTGTGTTGTCCCGTCTGCCAGTGGTTGTTTGGGTTCTCTGATAATGTATAATTTACTGCAGTCGTCTTGGCAGCTGCATGTACTGTATTACTGTGTCTGTTCTGGGGCACCCGATCATTGAGGTGGACCACTTTTTGATGGATCATCTTTTGGTGTTTCAAACCACAGAGACATGGTGTTTTGAAAAAAGAAAAATGCATCTCAGCTGTTCTGATACTCCCGAAACATAAGAGATCAGATTGTTTCCTTAGGCAGCAGTTGTCCTTCTTCTCTCCTGGATCGCTCATAGCATTCTTCCCATCTTTGACTAACCAACCTGTGATAACCACATTTTAATAAGGAGCTCTTTGATATGACGTTCTTTTGCTTCCCTGGCTGCTGTGTCCGTGGGGATGGTGTTTGCTCTAAAAAGAACCACAATGGTGCTAAATTATGCACTTGTACTGCTTATAAGGCTGGGAAACGTGCAGTCAGCTGAGACCGAAGAAGTTACTTGGATGAGTGATGAAATGTTTCTGATTAGTTGTAAGTCGGTTATGTGATAAAACTCAGCCCTTACAGTGGGGTATCGTGAGATTTCCCCTCTCAGTCTTTTTACACAAAGTTTAAATAAAGTGTTTATGTGTTTGTGTACATACTTATTTCTTATGTCTTTTGTAGTTAATCAGCTGAAGAGCCTTCTGCTGAAGCAGGGCAGAGAAATTCCCACACCTGTCTCCCCTTCCAAGAAACAGTCTCCATCCAAGGTAGAATGAGCAGTTGTGCATGGTTTAACATTTAAATGCGTTAGAGCTGACGAAGGCCTGTTACAGAACTGATACTCAGATTAGGAGCAATTCTCCATACTTGAATGTACCATGGTTTTATAGTTCACTAAAATGAAAGAAAAAACTAAAAGTAGGTGTGAAAACTAAGTGAAATAAACTAAAAATAAACAGGAAAGGCCCTCAGTTTTAGTTTTTGTCATTCTAGCAAGCATCAGGAAGCCTTGTAAATTTGTTAAAATTTGTCACAGACTCACTTTCTAATAATAAAAAAGTAAAATTAAAAAAAATGTGCTAAAAGTGAAATGTGCAAAGCCGCTTTGAAAACAAATGAAAGCTAAACTGAAATAAAATGGAATTAAAACTGACTTCACTTGCGGCTCTTCTGTGTTTTGGCTTTTATTTTTTACTCTTCTTTCCCTTTTGCATGGCAGGAGGGGATGTCCAGTTTACCTGCCTTTCAGGATTTGGTTCCTGTATTTCACAAGTCAGAATACATCCAACATCTGGAAGCTGAGGTTAAATTCTGTAAGGTCTGTGTGCACAAATGTACGTGTGCGCGCGCGTCCTTCATTCCCAGTGTGCTAATTTTGAACGGATGTTAATCGGCTTCTCTGTTTGTGTGACTTCAGGAGGAGCTGCAGGGAATGAAACAGCGGATCAGAGTAGTGGTGGTGGAAAATGAGAAGTTACGTTCAGAACTGAAAGCCGAAGCTGTGGATGAATCCCTAAAAGATTACACGATCCGAAACTCCACGGTAATTTGTGCGTGTGTGAAAATCATTGGTTTGATTTTTGTGTGTGTGAAAATGGTAATGCATGTAACAATGAAGGCACGTATAGTACAAACATAATAAAGACTGAGGTTACCTTATGGCTCAGTCACACTTAAATAAAAATAGGACTGTCATTTCTTTGCTGCTTTGACACTCCAGCTTTGACAACAGCGACTGAGGCTTGAGGCTTGCATTAAGTAGTCATGCTATGGTCTCCAAACGCTGTTTTCTTATTATATTGTGACTGTTGCATTAGTCATTTTTCTCTGGACACTTTCAGTAGAGAGACACTAGAATATAAAGTTATGGTAGCAAAGTTTTTATAGTTCAAAAGGCTGAATTTAAGCATCATAAAAGCATCTTTCAAATTAAAGATTTGGTCACCCGTTCCAATTTTTTTCCTCAGATGAATGAAGTCATCGACAACAGCCACGTAGCCTCCATTCGAGACCACAGTGTGCTACAGAAAGAAGAACACAACACATGGAAAAATGAGCTGGTATGAAAGATGAGTCTCTACTGGTTGCCGTTCGGTTCTCTTTTACCTCAGTGTTCATCAGATTTTATGCGTCACAATAATGCACAATGGTCCCAGATTGTAGTTTAAGATTTGTCTTTTGCTAATTTCCTCCAATAAAACTTTAACAGTAGAAACATGAATTCTGTTTTTTAGTACATTTATATAGGAAGCTGTTGCAATATATTTAATTGCATCCAGTTAGATTCAGATGTTTGTGCTCATCAGGAAAAACTGAAGGTGATCTACCAGGCCCAGATGGAAAGCTTGGAGGCGCAGGTCATCTCTCTCAGGTTAGTTCTTTGCGGCATCAAACGAGCAGAAACTCATCTGGGTCATTCCTTGAAGAAAAGGTCAGTTCCTCCCACTGACGCCCTCAGAGTCTGCAGATTGTTTTTTGTTTAGTCACTTTAGTATTTTTAATGATACCCTGGAAAAAATGTTTATTTTGTACTAAATATTTTCCAAGTTAAAAGCGCAGAGGAGTTGGTTAAAAACAAAATGCTCATTTTTTCAAGTTATTGTCTTCTAGTTGTTTTTGAACTCAACATAAAATGTTCAGGGCTGAGAAAGACATTTATGCTCTATTTAAAACTGCAACCAGATCAAGTGGACACCCACTCAGTGTCACAGTGCAAAACACAAAACGTTTTTGTTCAGCATGAGTTTTTCAATAACCAACTTTGAGCATCAACATATAGTTTCAATAACCAAACTATTATTTGCTGTCAATGACGCGGTGTCACAGAAACATTCTGACCTGAATTTTTTTTTTTATCTGTCTTCTGGTAATTCACTGGAGAAAAATGTAAAAAGTCCATTTCTTGTAGGCTGGTCAAAATACGTCATAGCTTACCTACATTTTTATACCAAGCCCATCTCTGATCCCCTCCGTTTCAAAACCTTAGTCATTTTTAACCCTAGCAAATGTACCTTATGTCTGTAAAAATCAGTTATCTTTAATTCTTTTTAGAACACTTTTCCTTCTCTGATATTTTCAGAAAGGATCTGTCAGTCAGTCAGAAGGAGTGCGAGGAGGTGAAGCTTCGCCTGAGACACAGGGAGAAGCAGGCCGCAGATGCACTGAAGGCTGATGGAGCTCCTCGTGTGGCAGGATTGTGCCTGAAGTGTGCACAGCACGAAGCTGTGTTGGCTGGGACTCACACAAACCTGCATGTCCAGGCTATTGACAGGCTCACAAAGTCAGTGGTAACAAATGCTTCGTGCAGAATCAATCAGACGTTAGCAGCAGTATACTGACTGTGTAAACCATAGCATTAGTTTAGACTTAGTTAAGTGTACCATCCAGATTCTGCTTTTAATTCCTTTTTGTCTGATTTTTCTCAGAGAGCGTGATGAGTTACTGGTGGCTCTGCGTGCTGTGAGGACCAGTCAGCAAGAGACACAACAGAGGGAGTGGTCAGCCTGTCTCCAGGTCAAACAGGCTGTGGAGATGGCAGAGGAAGCAAACCTGCAGAAAGCTAGGGTCAGAGAAACATCCACACAAACAACTTTCCAGCTGACCGCCATCTTTGCTTAATACAGTTAATATTTAGAATGCTTTGCATTTGTTAATGCTCAGATTTACCTATTTATAAGCTACACACACTGTATACATATACAAGCTTATGGGAATGCCACTATCATCATACGTCCACTAGAGGGTGCTCAAACATTGCCTTGAAATTAAGGACATATTCAGCTTTCATATGTTCTTCAACCTCGGTGTTGACTCACAACATCATTTTTTTCTTTGTTCTAGTACAGCTGGTTATTACTCTGTTAACCCTTCTGTTTTTGTACACATGCAGGTGGAGGTGCAGTGCGAGCAGTTGTCCAGGGAGCTGGCTCGACAGAGAGAACAGCTCGACCGAGACGCACACGGTTTGCAGCAGAGACTGGCTGAGGCCAGAGAGGAGGGCCGAGCAGAGGCCCGCAAACAAAAAGAGGAGCTGACGAATATAGTTAGTCTTACTTTTCATGTACATGATTATTAGTCGCAGAATTGGGAAATTCACAGAAGAAGTGGATTACAGAAGAATGAGTCTGTTCATTTGCCTGTAAAATACTGTAAATAACTATATTAACAGACAAATAAAAAAAAAACTCTTTTAATGAAACATTAAGTAGTAAAAAGTAGGAAATTGAATCATTGCTGTTTGCTTTTGCAGTAGCTATTGTATATTTCTTGTACTTAGAGTTTATGTCTGTTATGTTTTGTAATGATACCCTAAAAAAAATGTTTGTATTTGCAGGACATTTTACTTGAATTCTGAGTGACGCTGCAGTGAAATGGCCACTGAAATGGTGTACTGTGTTTGTCTGTCAGGTGTCTGGCCTTTCCCAGCGTGTCGCTGAGTTGGAAGGACAGCTAGACAGAGCTCTCAGAGACAAGAGTTCACTGACCAGTCAGCTGGAGGACACTCTCCGCACACTTACCAGCCAGGAACAAGAAAACACAAAGGTATCGGATGCTGTTTGCACAAGAAAACTTTGTGTCAGTATGTCTTCTTATTTCTTATTGATGGCATGATGAGCATTTCAAATAAGCATGAGCCAGGGTTTGTCTTTAGAAGTGTGGGATTGAAAAAGCAAAAAGCTCTTTTGTTGTTGTTTAAAAAAGTAGAACTATTAATTTTAAGGACCCACATGCTTCACTATCTTCTTGCATTTAATTTCTAAATCCACTGGATGGCAGCAAAAGATAATCTATTCCAACTTTATATTCAGTTTTTGAACACGTAAATGCAAGAGCATATTTTTCTTTCATTAATATTTGTATTTATTTTGAACAATTCAAGAACACAAACAAAAACAAAAAGAAACCAAGTGAATCGAAAGAAAAAGCGAACAGCAATCTGCTCCTCTCAATCGACACATGGCAACCCACAGGCTGAAAAAGACTTCAGAAAAAGACAAACAAAGTGTGTGGGTTCACACAAAATTCAACCCTTATATCATTTTACAAATCTTAAAAAAATAAAACTTAGTTTACAACAAACAGCCAGATTCAAATCTTTCTAATAATTCAAAGAGATTCTCAAAACTTTTCAAATGCGTCTTATTTGTGTTTGTTTCTTAATCCTTCTAGGGGAGGATTCGAGATTAAACATCACAGTGCTTTTATATTTTTGGTGAAAGACTGAATTAGTAGGTGCTTTTAGGGATGATGAAATGTGAAACTAGTCAAATACACGAGTGTAAAAACATTGAGCCTGGGAACGAGACAGTCTGATGATTTAGATGGGTGATTTTCAAAGTAAGGACACGATAGGATAATAAAAAGAAAATCAATAAATGATGAAGCATTGAATGTGACATACTTGTTAATTAAAAGACCGCCTTTGTTTAACGAGGACTATTCATCTATAGGTATGTGTGGATCTGAGATATCAGCTCAGCCAGGCCGCGCTGAAGAAACAGGAGGCTGAACGAGAGCTCAGAGAGCTCAACGCCAAGACCAGCAGACGGATGGAAAAGGCAGCACAGGTATGTGCCGATGTATTGATTAGTTAGGATTTATTTGATATTTGTTTAAGTCTGCTACTGACCCAGTATTTTGTAGAGTTGATTGTTTCATAAATAGTCTTTATTTTTCTTTTTTTGAGGGTCTGCAATGAAGCATAGCAAGCAAAATGAGTATTAAAACTCAAATTTTCCAAATTATTCTCAAGTTATTTGCACAAGCATCAATTATCCAAACTGTTAAAGGAACAGTTCACACCAAAATCTAATTTGCATACTTTTCCTTCAGCCTTTAGTGATATTAAGTGATAGAGATTGTTTTGGTGTGAACTTTTCCACTGTAGAAATGACAGCCTTCTTTTGAATATAATACAGCTAAATGACATTTTCCTTGTGGTGCTCAAAGCCCCACGGCATTGGCATTAACTTCTCTTTACAGAAGTCATGACCTGGCTACTAAAAGAAAGCTGACAGACGCACCATTCTACATGAGGAAGTATTGGTAGTAGTTTGGGATAACTCTGTCATGATTTCTAGAAATATATTTTATGTCTTTTAAGTGTATTTCGTGTGCTTTGAGCACCACAAGGCAAATGCCATAAAGAAGTCAGACATTGCTACACACCTCAAAAACGTGCCAAAACAATCTATATGACTAAATGGCATTAAAGGTTCTGATTGATTTTGGGGTGAACTGTCCCTTTAAATTTAAATAATGAATGCAGGATATTCTGTGTTTCCATTTTGAGGTTCAGAAGATCAAACCTGACATCTTTTTTTTGTCCTGCTCAGTTTTTACATGTTATTGTAACCAGGCTTTAATGTTTCGTTCATCTGAGGGCACAGGGTGGGTTGTTGTGAAAGATTTCCTCACCTCCTCTCTTCTTCCATCTCTGCGGGACAGGAAGTGGAAAGGCTGAGCTCAGAGCTGGTTGGCTGTCGGCAGCATCTGGAGGCGGTCCAAAAGGATGGGAGCCAATGGCAGGCCGAAGCCCTGAGCCTAGCAGAACAGCTGGCAAATGCCCAGCGCCAACTGCACCTCACCAGGTAGTACCTAATCCTATTATACATGCCACCACACTCACACACACACAGTGCTCCCCTCTGTCCAGCTCCTGCCCAGCTCAACCCAGTCCAGTCCAGTTCAGATCAGCACACCAACTGTACCGCACCAGGTAACAGCTAATCCTATTATACAAACCACACACACATAAACACACATGCGCGCCGCTGTGCCATGGTCCCGATACCAACTGGACCTCACTAGGTCACCTCTAATCCTGTTAAGCATGCCACAACATAATGCAACACAACACACACACATACACACTGCCCACTCTGTGCCACCAGGCCAGTGCCCAGCCCAGCAACAGCTCCAACAGAGCCAAAATGGCGCCTGAGCCTTTCTTCTGTCCCTGGCGCGCGCACACACACACACACACACACACACACACACACACACACACACACACACACACACACACACACACACACACACACAACAGTGCGGCTGATGGTCACTGGACAGCCTGGCCTCAGCGCCACCTGCCAGTGCCCTGCACCCGTCCTCACAACGGGCACTACCGGCACCCCTCCATTATCTTTCTATCTATTTTTGCACCATTCTGTCCTGTTTTTTCCAGCATCTCTATATCAAGACCTCTGATATTCTTTATGATTTCATCCCACCTATTTGGGCATAGATTCATATTTACTGCCACCTGCTCTTTTGTCCTTATCTGGCCTTTCTGTCTCCTCTTTAATTGAAACTAATCTCCCCTGTAACGTTATCCTATCGCCGTCCTTGACGTTATTCTTTCTTTCCTTTCTTACTACGGTCTTGTCTTTTTCTTCCCTCTGTCCCTCCTGTCATCCTCTGGCTGCTTTTTCCTTCCACACCATTCACCGCCAAGGCCACGCCAGCCAATGCCAGCCGCTCAGGGCACTCTCTCACCCCCGCTGCCCACAGCCGAGGTGTTTGAGATGGGCACAGATGTGGCGGCGGTGTCCCGTGGTGCTGGAGGCTGCGGGATGCAAGTTTGTGCAATCTAAGTGTGTATATGTGTGTCTGGTTTAAGTGTGTGTGTCCACTGCTGCTTCTGGCTCTGATCTGTGTTTAAGTGTGTTTGTCTGTCAGCTGGCCAGCATTTACACACTGGTTTCATGACTGGCTGCTGTGTGTTTTTTGTTTTTTTAAAAAGATGATGTAATGAGCGTGTGTGCGTGCGTGCACACGTGTGTGCATTTCGCAGCCAGCTGTGGAGAATGACATGCATATTAATGTGGCTACATGATGACTTTGACCTGTACTAGAGGAGCTACTGGACAAAACCATTTTACTGCCATGTGTGCGCCTGTATGTGCATGAGAGAGTTTATAGTTTTATCTGTCCTCAGTTGCATACTAGATGTTTGACAGCTGTTGACTTGGCTAAGCATGTAGCCATTCAGATTCAATTTTGGTCATTAGCAGTGAAAACCACTTCTGATAGAGATTTAATATGACTGCTTCTTTTTTTTTAAACAGTTTTAGATGAGAAGAAGTCTTAATTTTTTGCACACAGTAACACCTTTAGTCACATTTAAAGGCAAAAGAGTATAAGAGTATAAAAATGATTAATACCCATAACCGCCCCTGGTTTTAAGCTTGGATGGTTCCATAATAGTGCGGTGGTTTGCACATTTTTCTGACAGCTGAAAGATTCCTGGTTTGACGCTGAAAGGAGACACAATGAAACCTGTGGAGCTACCTGCTATGACGACTCTCCCGTGAATAAGGCAGCAGCTGAAAGTTGCTTTTTATAGCAGCTGGCTGACAGTTGATTTCCACTTCTGCTGTAAATCTTTGTTGATTCTACAATGTAACCAATGCAAGTGGCCTTCTGCAATGTGTTTATTATCTTGTGGTTGTGGCTCAGTGTTTTAAATGCAGTGCTACCCAAAAATCCTGGGAGATTTCCCCCCTTTTTTGTACATTCCCACTCCCAATAGTTTGGCAGTCTCCCCTCAAGAATAGCTGCAGGCTGGGTCGATGTGACGTCTAGTTATAGTTCCATGGAGGTGCATGTCAGGTTAAGGCGTAGTTTAAATGGTAGTTTTTCAGATGTTTCTGCAGTTACAGTTTCCTAACACAGAGGTATCAATCCACCACGAGTTGTTGTGCTGTTACAGTAAATGTTGAACACCGTTTGACTGTACAGACTAAAGGTTTGTCCGTCTGAGATGCACTTTAAAGCAGTTTCAAGTCATTACTTTTGATATTTGGTTAATCATTACTCTGAGCTCTGAAGGAAAAAGTCTGCCGAGGACACACAGAAAGCTGTCCAGCAGGCCTGTTTCCAAAAAGCAGTTTTCTTAGAAGTGTGGAAAGTCTTAACATCCATACATAGATATGGGATCTCTGTTGATTTAACTGTTTTAGAGAATGGTATATTTCACTCACATCTTAAAGATTCATCAAATTTGTGATGGTAAAAACCAAGTCTTAGCAGTGCAATGGCTCTGCACAAAAATGTATCCATGCAAAGATGGTAGCATACATGCATCGTACACACCTGTTGAAGTTTGGTCAAAGCCTTTGTCCCTCCTCAGCACTGCATTATGTTTGTTCCCCCCCCCCTTTACTTGTCATGTCCTCATCGCTTTTTTCTTTTGCCATTTCAAAATGAAACAAATAAACCTCAAGCGATTGTGTCTCTCTGCTCTTTCACTAGCTCTGTGTCATTCTCTTTCTGTCCATCTGTGGGCCTTCAGGGGTTATGCAGAGCTACATGTATTTCATTCATAGTCATGCCCTCTGCTGTTGTTCGCTACAGAGCCATCCAAGAGTCTTTGTAGCTTTACTGGGCTGTGTTTTTGTTGGTGTGTGTGTGTGTGTGTCTGTGTGTGTTGTTGGAGAGTAAGAGGAGAGGGTGAGATTCACGGTAGCAAGGCTGGAAGGCATTTATATGGCCAGCCTTCGAAGGCAGCTCTTTGATTTTTCTCTTTGCAACTTGCTCGCTCCTCTCTTTCATTCGGTCCACCTCTCGTGGCGCAAATGATCACAGCTCGCCTTCAAACAGGGGGGACATGAAGCGCAGACAGCTTCTGTTTGATTTCTGATAGCCCTACCTTCCTTCCTGATAAACACATACATATAATATGGACACACACACTCACACACATATTTGTTTGTACAACGGCATCTTTGCAAACGTGCACGCCGATATTCACATCAGTCTAACCCACATGCCTGTACACAAAGACGCAAACACACGCGCTCACACACAGATGCAAGCACGCATCCGGGGGTCCCATGGCGGCTGGTGCGCTGCGCTGTGCTCCAGGATTGGATCATCAGCCAGCTGTGAGTTGGACAGCCCAGGATCTGTCCTAATCCCCGCCACTCTGTTCACATCGCCTCACATGCGCACACACACTCTCCAGTCCCGGCCCCAACCCAGCAGAGGGCTTTACTAAGTTTGTTTTGTTTGTTTGCTCCTGCCTTTCTTCACTTTCTTTCTTTTCTTCTTTCCATGTCTCCATCCGGCCTCATCTCTCCCCGTGTTGTGATCACACATCCCAAAGGCCATAGTGAAAACTGCCCAGCATAACTTCTCTTTCAACACACGCCAGATAGGACTGAGATGTGTGTTTGCATGCGTTAGTGTATCCATGGTTAGTTGAGACCTGTGGGCCTGCATTGTTTGAGCCGAGATGAATGTCTGAGGCTCCAGATCTTCCACCGGTTTTGTTATCCCCATGAAATCAAGCATCCATGTTCATTAGGGTGCTTGCTTAGAGATGTAGATGGACCTGGAGCTTCAAACTGTTTCTGTGAATAAGTTTACTTGCGCTTAGTTTTTCCACCTAAAACTTCTGAGTGTGGAGTCTTCAGCCAGGAAATATCTGAACATGCTGGTCCATATAATCTGTGCCTGTATGTGACAAACACCTGAAGAATGAGTCTTCAGTTGAAATTGTCCTGGCAGCAAATTTGCCGAGGAGGCTGAATAAACCTCTTATGAGAAAATCTGCAGTGATGATTATCTGTGAATATCTGGTTAAAAATCCTATCAGCAAATGTTCATCTTTATGCATTTGGGGTCACAGTTTCCAAAGGTTGATACTGGATAATGCAGAGCGGGCTGTGAGATGAGGAAGGTCTTTTGGGTTTGGATCAGCGTGTCCTGATCTGTTCTTTGGCAGTTGTGCTAAGTGCACCCACTGCAGCAGTATTGCATGCTAACAGTCCTATTTGAAAGAGTCAAATGTTTATGACCCAGGAGGCCACAGTTTGCCTTCCATTAGGACCTTTGTGCTTGGCGCTATGTCTTGTCTTCTCTTAAACTTGCTCCTTCATTTGCTTGTGAGGTTTAGGCCCTTAAAAAGTATTAGATTAGGATTAGCTAGAAAAATTGGTTTGGGTTAAAACCTTCAAAATGATGATAAAATGATGCTTATCCCACAAGTCAAGCATGCAGGTGGAATTGAGAACTAAGTTTTGTACAGTTAGGTCCATATATATTGGGACACTGACGCAAGTTTAGTTTGGTTTTATTTGTTTAATAAAACATATTACAATTATAGTTATATGATGTACATGGATATAATGTGTAGACTCTAAGCTTTCATTTGAGGGTGTCCACATTCAAATTGGATGGCGGGTTTAGGAGTTTCAGCCTCTTAACCTGTGCCACCTTTGTTTTAAAGAGAACAAAAGTAATAGGACAACTGACTCAAAGGCTGTTTCATGGGCACGTGTGGGCAATTCGTTGATTATGTCATTTTAAATTGAGCAGATAAAAAGCCTGGAGTTGATTTCAAGTGTGGTGCTTGCATGTGGAAGAGTTTGCTGTGACCAGACAACGTGCGGTCAAAGAAGCTTTCCATGCAGGTGAACAAGCCATTCTTAAACTGGGAAAACAGAAAAAAAAACACATCAGAGAAATTCCTACAATATTAGGAGTGGCAGAATCTACAGTTTAGTACAGCGGTCCCCAACCCCCGGGCCTTGGACCGGTACCGGTCTGTGAGTCGTTTGGTACCGGGCCGCGAGAGTTGAGGCTC